CTCAGCGAAGGTAGCGTGTGGAGGGACAAACCAGCAACCTGAGTGAAGATTGGAGATATCTGGTTGCACTCATGAGGTGGAACGGTCACCCAWTTCGCGCGTCCCAGCGAGCAGTTGGAGTACCTTCGCGCCGAACTCTTCGTTGGCAGGGACGGCAAGTGGTCTGGGGAGAACRACCGGCTCCTCAGGGGCAGCGTTGGCCTTAGCCCTCGCCAAGTTGAAYTCATTGAGCGTAATCCGGTGCTCCCTGATCAACTCCACATTGTCTTCGAGAAGCTTGATCTCACGAACACGAGTGGCACGATATTTCTCCGACGTGCGCTGCAGCTTCTCCTCCATGCGATCAAGCCTTTCCTTGCATTTGCGCAATGCCTCGAGCTCGCTCGCCATATCCATGTTGACGATCTCGAGTTCGCAGTACTGCTTGACGAGGTCGTCATGACTTAATGCGCTGATTTTTTTGACGTGGTCGTCTGATGAATTGATGTACGAAGACATAGAATGAATGTACAGAGTACAGCTGTGATTGTCCTGGCCAGGAACTTAAAGCAATACGCTGTAGAGTGATTAAACTAAACTAAAAGAAAAAAGTTTAATATAAAGAGATGTACTCTTAATATTATTGAACGTTCACTTGAGAGTATGACAGTTAGTAATTGAAGACCCACTGTCTATGAATGAACGAATCATATAAACTTATTTATTTATATGTATAATGATTGGTGTAACCAAGAGGACATACCTTGAGAGTATGACAGTTAGTAATTGAAGACCCACTGTCTATGAATGAACGAATGAAGTGATTGAGTGCGCGAAGCGACATCAAAACACTTTGGAAAACGAATCATTCGACTCTGGAAGTTCCTCATGTTACATGTGCCAGTATGATTTAAATTAACTAATCGATCGAATTATTCTGAAGTGACTTGTATTGTTATTTCAAATGAAGGCTAAATCATATCTCTATCTATCTTTATTTGTTTGATCACATTGTAAGTGTGATTTTTTTTCAATTCAATCGGAACGGATGTTGAAGATATTTTTGATCAATTGGAAATTTCCAACCTCATTCAAATCTCTAATTCTACTACAATACATATTAATATATCACCAATATCCATAAATATAAATAGATATGTACATAGATAATAATAATAATAATACTAAGATATTGACATTGCTCATACTTCTGGTGGCAATAGCAACTACGACAACGAATTCTGTATTGATAACATTCGATGGAGTTCCCAATGACAAGTCCTTAGAGGTGGCATGGAAGAATGGTGCACTACTCAACACATCACTGGCATCTCTACGACCTGGTGATGAGTTCATCTTCCCCAACGAAACTTATTACATGGTGGGCGGCATCATTGCTGAAGGTATATCGGATGTTATCATTAGATTCGAAGGTACCATTATTTTCACGGACAACATCGACACGTGGCCCCGCACAGCCAACGGGCAGGTGTTGGAGTGTTTCAAGTTTGACAACTTTAACAATGTAACGCTGACCTCAAGTGGACTTGGAACACTGGATGGTCAGGGCGAAGCTTGGTGGGGTCTGCTAGGATATGCAGAGTACCAAGAGAACAGACCAAGGATGTTGTCAATGGGCAGCTGTAAATCAATACTTCTCGAGAACCTATTCTTCAAGAACTCACCATACTGGACTGTTTGGATCTATGATGTCGATGGTCTAGAGATAAGATACAGTCATATATCAAACAGACGAAATGACTTTGATGGACATGATTACTGGAACTTGTTGTAAGTACCCTCACACGAACAAACAAACAAACAAACGTTAATGTTAACTCAACTACAATAACAGCGCATTCAATACTGATGGATTCGATGTCACTGGAAAGAATGTTTGGATACATGATTGCTCGGTTTGGAACCAGGATGATTGTGTTGCCGTGAAGGATGGCTCAGAGAATATGTTGATTGAACGTGTCAATGCAAGTGGACTTGGTTTGACTATTGGATCGATTGGCGGTTCGGATGTGAGGAACATTACATTCAGAGACTGCTACATGCACAAGACCTACAAGGGTGTTTACGCCAAGTTTAGAGGATCAGGATTGATCTCTGACGTACTCTATGAGAACATTGTAATGTTTGAACCTGAGCAATGGCCCATTTGGATCGGTCCCGCACAACAATCAGACAATGTAGACATATGTCTGCCACATCCATGCAGTCTATGTTGGCCAGAGATACCATTGGCAGAGTGTAACATGCCAAACAATGCCAGCTACGTCGACATCACTCTCAGGAACATCACAGTGATCAATCCAGTCAAGGAGACTGGAGTTATCATTGGAAGTGCCACCAACCCAATGACCAACATACTCTTTGATGGTGTGGTATTCCAAAACTCTGATGGGCCTGTTGCCAGCTACTTTGCCTGCGAGCATGTCGCAAGTGGTCTGGCAACTGGTGGCACATATCCAGTGCCATCATGTTTCCAATCATCATCATAAACTTTGTCAATGTATGTTGTTATGTTGTTTATTATCTTAATTGTTGTACAACTTCTTCAACTGAGCAATAATGTGTGACTTGTCTGCACCAGTTGGTAGTCTCCAATTGATTGATCCATTGCTGCCACTGCTGCTGTTGCTGCTGGTGTCGTCATCGTCATCGTTCACCTCGCCAACAATGTCGTAGTTTTCGTGCATCTGCAGATTGTGAGGTCTTGTCTCTTGCAGCGCTGCTGGCATTGTTCCGTAGCTGGAGTTCATGTCTGGATAGAGCTGATGGAACTGCAGTGGTACGGGTGGTGGTGCAACTACTGAAGGCGCCGCGGTTGGGTTCTGATATGGTTGGAAGGTTGACTGCTGGTAGTTCTGGTAGGCTTGACGATGTGGAGCCTGGGGGCCGTGTCCAGGTGGTGCTGCTGCTGGTTGTGGTGGATAGAGTATTGGGGCGGGAGCAGGGGTAGGAGCCGTTTGGGGTGCGAACTGGGGATAGTAGTGGCCACCAGCAGCAGCTCTTGGTGGTGGTGGAGCGCCATAAGCTGTTGCTGGGTTCTTGTATGGCGCTGGATAGTTGGTGTAAGGTTGTGGTGTTGCGGTCTGAGGAATAGTATGTTGAGGCTGGGGAGGTGGAGGAGGTGTCTGTGAGTTGTATTCGTAGGGGACAAAGGATGCAGCTCCAGAGAATACAAAAGGGCGTTGTTGTTGTTGTTGTTGTTGGTGCTGTTGGTGTTGCTGTGGCTGCTGTTGCAGATAGGAGGTGTTTGGTGCAGTTGTGTAAGGTGAAGGGCCTCCGGGGGCAGGTGGCGGATAGGCGGCCGCTGGCTTTGCTTGATAGGGTGCCCAGTTGGTGGCAGTATACTGATTGGGCGATGGATACAAATGGGATGTTGGTTGAGCTCCGTAGCCGGTTGGAGGTGGTTGTGGATTGACGTATGGCTTGACTGTTGTGGCCGAGTAAGGGCTTTGTTGATGTGTCTGTTGCTGATGCTGCTGTGGATACTGATGTTGGTACTGTTGTTGTGGCTGTTGGACATAAGGCTGTTGAGAATATTGCTGTGTAGTTGGATAGATGTGCTGGTAGTGTTGTTGCTGTTGTTGTTGTTGATAGGGATAGCCTGCTGGATATGTGACCACTGGTGGAGGTGGAGGTGGATGGGCCTGTTGGTTGCTTTGATGGTAGAACTGTCCTGTCTGGTGTGGCGGTAGAGGATGTTGCTGGGGCGGGAGAGGATGTTGCTGAGGGGGCAGTGGCTTGGGCTGCATGAGATAGGATGGCTGGGGGGCGGCTTGAGCCTGGGGGTATGCAGGAGGCGCGGGTTGAGCCTGGACATAGGGACTGATTGGACCGGCCTTGGTGTAGCCCACTGGTGCATGCTCATTCTGAACGGTTGGAGTCGAAGTGGCTGATGGTGGTGGTGGGTAGGCCAACGATGTAATGGGCGCCGGTCTGCTGTCCATCAATGAGTCCAACTTGATGACGGGGTCCACGTGCTCGATCGAAGCAAAGTCATGGTCTGATACGCTTTGTTCAAGAGAAGATCTTCTGTGCATAATCTCATCATCCAAATTGAGTGATTGTCGGGAGTTGGATGAGGACGACATTGACTTCTCGGACGAGGAGGAGGAGGGTGCGCGAATGTGTCATCCTTGATCTGAGCTTTGGCGATGACGACGACACTGACTTGGATGATGTCGACGATGTGAGATTTGGTGATGGTGTGATTGGCGATATTGGAGATAGTGGAGAGATTGGTGCGGATGGCGCCTTGAGCTTGGGTGACTTTCTCCTTCTCTTCCTTGTCCTTCTTGGACGACTTCTCCTTCTTGTGGTTGAGCGCATTGGTGAGCTGACCAAAGCCATTGGCGATGGCCTTGGCGGGGGCCTCGATGGCCGCAGCGTTCTTGGTGTCCCATGTGACTCGGCCATTGTTGAGCAGCTTGCCAGTCTTGATTGCCTCGGTGAACGAACCCTTCTTGTTGGCGTCAAACTCCTCCAGCTCCAAGTTCTTGATGGCTTCGGCCAGCTTGGGATCGGACAGATCGGCCTTGATGCCGGCCTCCTTGAGGATGTCTTGCCACTCCTCAGGGATCTCGTTCTGGTTGGAGTTGGTGTTGGACGAGTTCTGCATGCGACCATCATGATGCTGTGAGATCTGGATCTGCGAGTTCTTCTTCTGGGTCGACGAGGAGCCCAGCCAATTGATGATCTTGCCCAGGCCAGACTTTTTCAGCTGCTCAAGTCTGTCGTGGATCTTGGCCGTCAGGTCAGTGGCGACACTGTGTGTCTCAAAGATCTGCAGTGCATCCTTGAGCAGGTTCTCCTCCAATGTCTTGTCCTTTCTCAACTTGTAGAGCTTGGAGTAGTTGTACCTGAGGAAGCCCTTGAGATAGTGATCGGGGTACTTCTCCGAGATCTTGATGCACTCTCTAAACAATCTCTCGGCATCACCATACTTGGACTTGCCCCATGCCAAGTAGAGCTGAGCCAAATGGTCCTTGGTCAATGCAACGAATCTGCTATCCTCTCCAAATTGTTTGATTCGAATGGTAAGAGTTTGGCTATGAAGAAGGAGATTAGTCATGTGTGTTATATGCTTGCCTCGGGAGCATGTAATACATACTTGAAATAAGACTCTGCCTTGGCATACTCCTTGGTCTTGGCATAGATCAGAGCAATGTTGTCCAATGCCACGGCTACATCAGAGTGATCTTGACCATATTGCTTGACAAAGATGTCCAACACACGATTAAAGATCTCCAAACTCTTCTCCAACTGATTGAGTGACAACCTAAGATGTCCCATGTTGTTCAATGTCTTGGCTATACTCAATTGATGACTACCCTTGTCCAACTATATATATGATTGATTGAGTGATTGAGTAAGTATGATTGATTGATTGATTGAGCGTGGATTACTAACCTTAATGGTTAAGGCCATCTGGTAATAGTTGTTTGCCTTCTCAAACTCCTTTTGTGATTGGCATGCCCATGCCAGGTTGTCATAGCTGTCCGCCACCTCTATGCTCTCGCCGTTGAAGATCTTCTTCTTGATGCTGATGACAGACTCGAGATGATCGGTGGCCTCCTTGAACTTCTTCTGTTTGATATTACATAGTGCCAGCTTCTCCTTGAAGTTGGCTGTTCCAATGTCATCACCAAATCGCTTTACATAAATGGCAATGGCCTCCTTGTAGTGGAACTCGGCACTGGAGAAGATGGAGTAGGTCTCGTAGAGCTCGGCAAGATGGACATGGGCCGCGGCCACCTGCACGTGATCCTTGCCCAGCTTCTTGGACTTGTACTCCAGCTCGTTGGTGGTAGTACTGCTCGGCGTCCTTGAAGTTCTCAAACGTCTTGAACGACGACGAGACGTTCATGTGCTTGACCGTGACGGCAATCTCGGTGATGTCCTCGATGGCCAACTGTGTCACCCTCTTGGCCTTGAAGTCCTTGAGTGTCTTGGCGCTAATGACGAGACCAGTCAGCACAGAGATCTTCTTGAGCAGCTTGTACTTGAAGTTGAGCTCCTTCTTGGCGCCATAGTACGAGTCGGGGAAGGGCGAGGCAGCCGTCGATGTTGGTGGACGCGCGTTGATGTACTTGAGCAGTCCGTTGGCCGACTTTATGAACTGTCCAACCTTGAGCTCAACATCGGGCAGGGTCGTGCAGGTGTAGGCGTACTTGGCCACGAGCGCGTTGCCCAGGTAGTGCGACCAGTAGTGGCGGTTGTCCGAGATCAACAGGTTGATGTGCGAGAGCGCCATGTCCAGGTGAGGCTGGTCCGCCGTCGAGTTGATCTGTCTCATCTCAGAGAATAGAATGAAGCGCATCAGACGCGCCACCATCTCCACCGACAGCAGGCCCTGCAGTTTGTAGAGTATGATCGGGTCCACAGTCTTCAAGTTTGTCAAGTGATACAACATCAAGCCAAGATAGCGCATGTTGATGCCATCCTTGTGGAAGAGATGCTTGAGGTTGAGCTTCTCCAGATTGGCTACCAACACTGACTTTTGAAGTATCGCTGGTACATATTCTTGAATGAGATAGTTGTTCGCCTTGACCGCTTCGTCGTTGAATGGTTCCTGGGTTGATTGTTAGGTTAGGTTAGCGATTGGCCAGCCCTTTGGCTCGTCTCGTTGTGTGTATGAATACATACTTGGTCGACAACATTGAACGCGGCAAACGCGTCTGAACATAGTTGCTTCTCATATCTCCTAACAAACTCTGGTCTAAAGAGTCTGTAGAGATGTCCACCAGTGATACCTGGAACAGGTGTCTCGGGAGGGAACAGTCTGGCAGTGTCTAATGAACCCCAATGAATGAATGATAGGTTAGTAACAGTGACTCTCTAGTTACATGCCCGCGTCTATCTAGGAAACATACCAACTACATAATACCTTCCATCGACACCAAAGTGACCTTCAATGTCAATGGCCAGGGGAATGGTGAATTGCTTGCTGTTGACCTTGCCACGCTCTTCGACCTTGTGTGTTTGGAGATTGAGGATCTCGCCAATCTTGACCATCATCTTGAACACTGTCTCATTCTCGTGGATGGTCTCACCGGCATTGGAACTGCCAAAGACCAGTGTGTGAGCGTTGATCGGCAGCTCAGAGATAACTATCAGACGGAAGCCACGATAGTTGACCAGACACATCAGTGGGAAGTGCAGGTTGGGCACACCGCACGACACTAGCGCATTGATGCTCTTGAGCTCGTGGCCGGCAGCCTTGTTGGCAAAGTAGCTGACGGGGTTGTTGCGCTCGTAGATCGAGTGCGGGTTGAGCGCAAACTTGATAAACATGTTGTCAATGACAAACTTCTCGCCTCCGGCGAATCCACCTGCGTCGAATGGCTTGATGGACTTCATGTCGGGTGCAATGTGTACCTCTTGCACCAGTGTTCGAATGTATTTGGTCGCAGTGTTGGCAAGGATCTGAGAGAAATGCGCAATGTTGTGGTTCCTCAGTCGCTCCTCCTCGTGGGAGTTGATTGGACGGTCCAGCAGCTCCTGGAAGGCCTCGTTCCAGGGCAACACTGGTTTGGCAGGCTGTGTATCCATCTTCTTCTGTATCTGCTGGAGCTGTGGGTCGGTCGGCTGCCCATTGATTGTGCCCTGTAACTGTTGATGTGCGATTGCCTGCTTCTCACTAAACGAAAGATCGTAGGGTGAGCTATATGCGCTGGAACCGCTGGACGTTGCCAATCCACTGGATCCCGTGGTCTGTTGGGGTGATGGCGTGTCCTCTGTGAATGAGTCAACGTAGGCTGATGCCGATGCCGACGTCGTTGAGTTGGTTGTATCAATATACTGCCCACTTGGTTGATTACTGTTTGTTAATGCTGCGGCTGATGATGGGACTAATGTGTGTTGGAGAGAGATAGTAATGCATTAGTTAGATGATGGAACGCAACAACATTCATGTTTGATTGATGCGATGCAATCATACCATTCTTCCAATCATTATTATCCTGCTGTGCCTGGAGATAGGTTGATGCTCCATAGCTAGAGGTCTTTGTGGCACTATAGACACTGCTGTAGAGACTACCGCCACCGGTTGTACTGCCACCATAGACGCTGATGTAGCTGGCATTGTGGCTGGCCAGTGTGGAGTTGGTGGCCAAGTACGACGATGAAGTCTGACCGCTTATAGATGTGGCTTCGTCAAATGTCGACACACCTGAGAATATCGACAATGACGATGTCAAAGAATCACGAATAGATGATATATCGTTGCCAGCCAAGCACTCCCTTTTCAGGTAGTACCATTGATTCTCCTTTGGCAATGATCTATCCATCTCTCTTTCTCTTATAATATATGTTTGATTGATTGATATTTATGCTATATGATATATGTTATGAATGATGTTGATGCTTGCTGATCTCAAGTCTGGGAGTTCGTCACACCTCCTATGATCTTATTTGTATATGATGTTTGTTATTATGTTATATTATTGTATATTATTTATATTTTATATATATTCTAAACTATATAAGGTATACACACAAATGTACAATGAGTTGTATTTGTTTGTTTGATTGTTCAGATAGAGAGATAGATTGATTAGAGGATGGTTCGCGTGCAGCCACTCATTCAACTCACTCTCCAAGTTGTGTTTGTTGAACTGAAACAACAAAGTGGAAACGATGTGTTTGTTTGAGAGATCGCAAAAGTGTGAAAAACTACACCCAAAACAGGTTTGTTTTGTTCGAGGAAGGGTATCCTTCATTAACTAGGACAAGGGGTAGGTAGCAAGCAAGATGGTCCCCAGCAGGTCCATCTTTAAGTCAAAGACTAAGTTGATCGAATTAACAACACACACATACGGACTGATTAGAGATCGGGTTCCAACAAAAGTTGTTGATGACATTCCCACAAAGTCACATCAATCACAAATAATAAGGAATACAATAGTAGTGTAGTGATTAACATGTTGCGCTAGATGACGAATACCTGGACGACATCAAGTGTCATATAATATTATGTGTCGTTTGCTACAAATAGCAATTTGGGTCAACAGGGACAGACAGTCAAGATCAATGGACACACCTAGGAATTAAGGTTAAACACTAGATTGATTGATTTATTACAGGTGACGATACTGAGGAGCACAAAGATGATGGTACTGGTACTGCTACTGACGTGGTCGAATGTGAAATGATTAGCCCATTAATGATCTGAAGGAGGTTACCCAATCCAAAGAGATAACCTTCGTCCAACATGCTATCACTATCGGGATCTCTATCACCATGAGTTTGTGAAGGTGACGAAGAGGGCGACGACGAAGAAGAGAGCGAGGAGGGAGACATTGTGCCGGAACCAAAGGAAGTGCTGCCAGCATGGTTGACATTGTGAGACCAGTGAGCGGCGGACGTAATAGTTGGACTGGCATGGGCAAAGTCAACCATCTTCACTTGGAGACGAGAGTCGTGTACACTGCAGCTGGCACCATCATAAATAAATAGCAATGAACCACCGTAGAACTTGTAACACCTCTGGTGCTCAAACAATCTGACCAACTGTGTCAACCTGTCTGCTATATCGCGTAACAAGTCGACCCTTATCTGTGTACCATTGCACAAATAATTGTAGATTACCATTGGTATGTCCTGGGCCTGTAGCGACCTGCCATAGAACTTGTCAAACGTCTGATATTGTCCAGTAACATGATTGTATACCTATGGTAGAATATTTTGTTAGTATATGGAGTCAATTTGATTGATTGATTGATTGGTTTAGTGGCATCATGTTTACCTTTAATCCACAAACTCTGAACCCCAGTGATGAAGAGGTTGTAGCTTTGCACTTCTTCTCCATCCTTTCAATCTTTTGTAAGGTCGAGCCTACTCCATGTTGTCTAACTCCCATCTTAAGGTCTAAAATACATGGGTATTTACATAAATATGTCAAGTCCTCTATCTCAATGTACACTATACATATGATTGGAATGAGTTAGTATTGTTATTCCATGGGTAATATTTGATGTTGTTACACTTACAATTCTGATCCTCCTTTGGCTTATTAACAACTTTGTTTCTCCAATGATTGTAATCGAATATTGATGTCTCTTGTTTGAATAAATTAGATTGATCCAATGGATTGTTGTCAACAAAGTTCATGTCGATGGCACCATAGAATTTGGGAGTAAAGTCCAAGAACTCTGTATGACACTGGAGTGATTTGTAGAACTGGTACTCAGTGTAGACCAGTGGTTTGAGCACCTTGCCATGAGGCAGTCTAAAGAGTGGTGCCTGGCCCGCGACTTGATGCGACAGGAGACTCAGGTCGGGGAGAGATATTGAAATTGTTCGTTTGGCTGGGCTAAGGTAAGGATTTAACTTGGTTATAGACTGATCATAGAGCTCCTCGGGAGGCTGGTCGTCACTACTACACTCGCTGCTGTCATCACACAATGTGATATCGTCATCCTCATCCTCATCCCTAGCGGAACAATTAAAATTATCCTGGTCACTAGATGGAAATATAGCGCGTTGTTGCGCTGGAAGATTGGCGAGTGTATAACACAAGAGAGATGTGGTGGGAGGCGAGGAGGTTGAACTCAGCAAAGGCAGACGGAGATGTTTGTTGTTGAAGTTTCCAAAGTCACTGAAGCAAACATTATAATCTTTGTTTATGTCTAACACTTTTGGTTGATGTTGCTGCTGTTGTTGTTGATGTTGTTGAATGATGTTTGACTTTGTTTGATGTTGATGTTGTTGTTGGATACTACTCAGTCCTCCAATTTCAAACAAACTACTACTACTACTAATGCTGTTGGTATTTATATTGCCAATACTGCCGCTACTACTACTGCAACTCAGACGAGTTCTATTCGATGCCATCACAGTTGGCACCATATCTTTATATATTATATATTGCTTTTTAAATATAATCTGGAGTAGTTTATTCTCTAGAAATTGACCAAAGGAAAATTAGGTCGAATGTTAATAAGATGTACATGATCTGGTATTTATATGTACTCTGTCAGTCTGTCTAGGTTGGTGTCGGGGAACAAACAGACGACACATAGGCATTAGAGGTGAAGGGGGAGTGGAGTAGTGAGTGATGGATGGGTGTCTGGTAAGAGTAAGAGAATGAGCAACAAAAGATTAAAGATATCCTGTCTGGCGTGGCAGCAGTGATGACGATGACGACGATGATATATGGATGGATAGGTCAATTGATGGTGATGTCTTTGGGAGTGGTGGTGATGGTGATGGTGGTGATGGGAGTATATATTGTCGCGCACACACATTGTCTTGTCCCACCAAGTACAACAACAACAACAACAACAGCCAACAATAATCACCACAATATAATCAATTTGCCAAACATTCTATTGTACACCATGGCAATCATGTAATATAGTGAAGAATTATTGAATGAATACCAATACCAGTACAATAGAGTGTGTAAATATATGTATTATTTGATTGAATGAATAGAGTGATATGAGGGTGGTTATATAAATATACATACTTGTTTGTATCACTACTAAATATTTATTAATATTAATACAATAGTGATTGATATGAGTGATTGGTGTTGTGATGTTGTTGTTGATGTGGAGAGTGAAGATCGACTGCTAATGAAAGGTCATAGGTGATGTTACAGTATACAGATTAAATTAGTATATAAATATATATATTTGTATTTGTTATATGTATATGTGTAAGTATATGTATAAATATTTGTATTTGTTATATGTTCACCTTGTGGTTAAATTTGAATGATGAACACCTACACCTCCACATCACCTTGTATTTCTCTCTCACCTTCTCCAACAACCATCCAATCATCAATCATCATTAAGATCAACCCATTCAATTTCAGCTAAGGAAACAACAACAACCCCCAAGTTTAATGTGGGGTGCATGGGAACAGTCATGGCTTTGTGGGCGATTGATTGGACCATTTTGGGACAAGGTTTGGGGGGAAGGGAAGTACATTCACTAAAAGAGTAGTAGTAATTGTACATTGATGTATTGTCTCTGTTTGTCTATATCTCGCTCTACTCTGTTGTTGTGTCAATGTATGCTTTGAGACTCAAGGGCCATTCGTACGAAATGCTCCCTCGAACCTACAGTTACATCAGATTCTGTTGATGTATATGCGTGTTTCCTTCCAATTGTACGTTCTTTCTTTGAATGAATGTATAGAGTACCTTCAAAGGTGTTGTTGATGGAGCTACGGTAACCATAAACTTCTTTCTTAAAGTCCATCAAATGGTTATAATCATCAACATGACGAACAAAATCATTGAGAGCAGTTGCTTTGCAAACATTGTTGTGTTCTTTAGTTTGTTTCTTGTTTGTTGGAATCCCAAGTCATCCTCCTGTTGTTGTTGTTGTTAATGTTGCAGTCATTGTTGTTGTAGTCGTTGTTAGAACATAATTGAACGACACCGTGTCAACTCATCACCAATCAATCATTCAATCATTACACTTACCATATAGTTAGGTTTTGAAACAGCTGCGAAACTCCATTTGTTACCAAACATATAATGTGAGCACCAACTGTTGTCCTTCATTCTTTCTCTATCACTTTCTTTATCTCTTTACGAATATGAGTCGAACATACAATAATAAACTTGTGAGTTTCACAAAAATAAAAGGCGCCGAGTGAACACCTTCTGTTGAATGGTTGGGATGAAAGAAATGGAATAACTATGGTTTAAATATTCTGATCATATTCATATCCATATTCAGGTATCTTGGATTACAGGCCTAATGATTTGGGCTTGTACAGATAATAAAAAATGATGACCTAGACCCGGGTTATGTACATTATAAGTTGGATATGATGGTTGTGGAGGACATAGATTAAGTTTGTGATTGTGAAGGGTGAGAATTCAATCTGACCGATGGACTTGCACATTCCCAAAAATATCAATTTGTGTTCTCTTCCCTGGGACAATACTGTGTCTGAATGAAAGAATGTTGGGAATGGGTGTGGTAGTGTTTACTACTGCCACTGCAACACTTCATCCAACTGTCAAACTAAACAGATACTATATCTACATACATACAACTCTGACTCACTAAGGTTAACGATACTTATACAAACATCCATCACATATATACATATATACATATATTATTTATTTATTATTATACTTTTATGATTGTTGCCCTATTACAACTACAACTACAACATCAACAACCTCGATCATCACTTCTACGACTTATACCCAATTCTTGTGATACATAGAACTCATATGCATATATATTTATAACAAGACATGAATGGTCTTGACGATAGTAATGATGATGAAAATAACATCAACAACAGCAGCGCCAACTTGAACAAAAGTACAAGTGGTAGTGGCCCAAGTCCCCCTCTTCCACCTCTCAACAATGGTGGTGGTGTGACACTCGATCAACCAACGACGCCAACATTATCTTCCAGCAACAATGGCAACAGGGATAAGAAACGACAACATCGCCAGCCATTGTTGAGTCGTGATGACGATGACGAACATTCCCCTGATGACAACTCGATAGAACTTAGAGAGATCAACTTGGCGACAGTCTCTGGTTCTGGATCACCTCACAACAACGATGACTTTGTTGACGAGGCTCAGAGTCTAATGTCTGAGACACCAGACAACAAAAAGAGGGATAGCAGAGGCACAAAGGACGTGCAGATGGGTGAGCTGCACATGTCGCCCACGCCAGACGCCTCCCTAAAGATCAGCAACAGCGACATCACACCACCCATTACTCGACAACAATGGATACGTGTGATTGTGATCTACACTGCAGTGCTCAGTGATGGACTTTCCCTGACACTGGTGCAACCATTTCTCCCAAAGCTCCTGATGGAAAAGTGGCACTTTTCCGAGAGTGACGTTGGCTGGGTATCTGGCATCCTGATCGGCTGCTACAGCTTGGCTCGTTTCTTCTCTGCTTTCGTTATAGGGTATGTCATCTCCACTCATCCTCCGGCATTCGCCATCTTGCAAGCAATCAATCACTAACTCAAGTCGCCACACTCAGCCATCTCTCTGACAAATATGGAAGGAAACCATTCTTGGTGCTCAGTCTGCTTTCGACCACCATTGGAACTGCGATCTTTGCATTTATGCCAAATGTTTACCTCGCGATGCTGGTCAGATTCGTCGAAGGACTGGTCAGTAACACAACGGCACTGAGTCAAGCAACATTGGCCGACATGATTGACAAACGTAATCGTGCGACGATCTTTGCCTACCTTGGCGCCATATTTGCTCTGTCTCGATGTCTCAGCTCGACGCTGGGCGGTGTCGTTGTTCGGCTTGCCGATGGCCAGCCCAACCCCTACATCTACCCATGTCTCGTGGGAGGTGGCATCGTGTTTGTGTCAGCCGTGCTCATCTTCTTCATTCATCCCGAGACGCATCCGCGCTTTGCCAAGCCCGGTGTGTCGGCCACCGAAATATCCAAAGACCAAGACGCCATCCCACTGTGGGAAGGACTCAAGAGCATGGCCAAGGACAGGAAGATTGTAATGCTACTCATCTTGGGAAGTGTAAACAGCTTCAACAATGGTGGTCTACTTCTTGCCTTTGTTCTATTCTCTTCATTAAGTGTAAGTTACATTGGTATCTTTGCGAATGTAAATGTTTGATCACCTCCGCTAACGTTCAACTCACACATACATCAGATTGAACATCGTGGACTTGGAATGGATCCTTTCGAGAATGGTATCATATTCAGTGTCTTGGGATTCTTTGGATTCATATTCCAGGTATGTGACCATCAATGTTGTTGCTCCATCCTCTCACCTCAGCATCCAGGACTAACCAATCAATCAATCAAAATAGATCACATTCTTCAAGAGACTATCAAGGACATTGGGACTAAAGAGACAGTATCTAATGGGTTCAATGCTGTTGTGTCTTGGTATGATGACATTCCCATTGACATTCATGGGATACTTGATTCAAGGCAAGGCCACAGTGTGGGTGATCTTGATGATCATTGTACCAATCACTTCTGTTGGATTCATGCAATGTCTGCCAATTGTCGGAGGAATGATTGCCAATGCCTCGCGACCAGAGCTACAAGGACTGACACAGGGCACGGCACAGTCAGCCAACTCGCTGCTGAGATCATTTGGTCCGGCAATCTCTGGCGCCATCTTCACATTCTCCATCAAGTACTCTGTGTCATGGCTGCTGTTCTTTGTACTCAGTGTCATCTATGTTGGACTGGCAATACTGAGCCTCTATCTGCCAGACTCTGTCGACGTGCTCAGGGATTCAGAAAACAAAGCCAATGCCAACAACAAAGATAAGAAAATGAAGGCTGGCAGCCATTGTTAACTGCTGTACTATTGACCCCCTACCCTTACCCTACCCTCACATCACTCATTTCATTCCCGCACAAATGGAATAGAACGAATTACAACAACAAGTCAATCAATCAAGGTTACATGTACTTGATGAATATTACAATAATCTTGAAGATGGAGAACTGGTTCTTGTTCTGGTCTTTGATGTTTGAAGTGGTTCGATGTTTATGAGTTACATCCMAATCAATCCAGTCTATGGATAACCTTCAGACACTGTCCTTCATACTCATACACTCGTTCGTTTGATTGATCAATCAATTACATGATGGTGTGTGGTGTGATTGTGTGGTGATGGTTGGGGGTATGATCATGGCAACCACCTATTCTCCTACTCAATCAGGTAACCAATCAGTGCAACCCAATGCGGTGATTGTGATCACTGTCACATGCTCTAGAGCACCAGAACCCAATCAAAAAGGGGAAACGAATAGGCGAAACAGATATTTTATAATCTCGTCGTCGACTCATTAGGATACGATTCGCATAACCCTTCAGTTTAGGGTCCATCTTCAGACCGTCCCCAGTCTCGGTGAACTCTAGGTTTGTTCACCAAAGTATCCTTATTATTATTTCTCTTATCATTCATTCATTCGCTCAATCATTCAATCAAATAGATAACTAAAATGAATAATCTATACATCCTTGCTCTCATACTCTTGGTGGCTGCTACATCAACAGTCCAAGCTGAAGTGGTATGTAGTGTTCAAACTAGTACCTGGGAAATAGAATAGATCGTCTAACTTGTAGTATCAATCAATGATGGATGGATGAATTTAGAATGTTTATGCTTTGTCATATGCAGGTTTCAATATTACCAAATGGTCAAATGTATCCAACTCATTCGTACCTTTTGTCAATATTCCAACTCTTGAGTTGAGAGGATACCAACAGGTGTTCAACTTCAACTCCACCTATCTCATGGGTTTGGCCAACAACGTTAACGACCAAAACCAACTCTACTTCCTCATCGATGAGGTCAACTTGGTAACTATCCTTCATTCATTGATTGAGTTTTAATACTTACCTAATTTATTCTCAAAATAGTCCAATAAGACATTGATCAAGAGTAATGGATTTAATCCAGCCACAGCCAATAACTACCAATGGTCATCAGCTTGGTGGAACCCAGATACTCCATCATATTTCTTTGTGATTGATAACTCATTGACACTCCAAACACTTAGCGTAAAGACAGGTCTACCAACTTCGGACTTCCCCGCCACCAAGATGCCAAAGGTCAACAATCCAGCGGGTTACTCTGCCTACATTGTCTACTTGCCAGATACCAACTTGATCTATGTCATCGTCTCTTATGGACCTGGCTTTGGATTCAAATTTGGCGGACTCAAGTGTGTAAGCTCCACTGGCTGCACCTACTTGTTCACCTACAACTTCCAGGGCAAGTCTGTCCGTTCGCCACTCTACCTGACACCCAACTTCATTGGCGACCAGGGCTACCCAACCTACGTCACCTACGTCAACGCCACCTCACTACTGTACACCGGATTCGATGCTACCAGCTCCTATCTGTTCAGCCTCAATCCACAGACTGGTGCCACACAGATCGTCGTCCGTTTCCCAACCATGCAATTCCCAACCAGCGCCACCGTTGCTGGCGGTCGCATCTATGTCATTGGTGGTGCCAAGAGCAGTGTTTCAAACTCTGTCTACGTCGTGTACGACCTGGCCACAAAGCAGGTCGTCAGCACCAACAATATCACAGGTGCCCCAGGCAGACTGTTGGCCAGCGCAAACTAGAAGATTTGGTAAATATATACACTTCGTCGTTCATTCATTGGTTCGACTCACTCTCAAGTCTATTGCTGTTGCTGTTGTTGTTGCTTTTGCTTCTGGACAACTGTTTGATGGGCACCATTGGTATCGCTTACTTGTCTAGTGAGTGGTTCGTTTCGCTTGTTGATTAGGGTTGAGAGTGCACTGAGGTCCACGAGATGTCGCATCGTTGGTCGACCATGTGGACAACACCAAGGATTTTCCAACAGAGACAGATTGTCCAATACCTTCTTCATCTCTGAATGTGACAGTGCAGTTCCAACCATAATCGATTTCCTACAAGCCCTTGAAGCAAACATTGAACTAATCCTAGGTAATCTTATCGTCTCCACTCCAATCACTGTGTCCTTGATCAATGATACAAGTTCGTAGACATCTATTGTTTGATTGATTGAATGAGTGAGTGATCATGTAACAGACTTCCAATCAAAGGGGCATACATACCATTGGCATTGAATACAGTGTTCTTGCTAAAGGGGAATGCTGCCAGCTTGACTTTGTACTTGGGCGGTGCGTCGTTGTCAATTTGGAATTCAAAGCCATTCTTCTTGAAGATTTGGAGGTGCTCCAGGACGATCATCTCATCCTCAGCAGTGAGTCCAAGTGATGTAGGTTTGATTGTTGGCTGTGAGTTTATCACTTCATTCTTTTGCAATGTCTCATAGTTGTACTTCTCATCGGCAGCATGTTGATCAATGATGAATAGGTCGCCACCAAGTCTGGCAATGATGAATCCCAAGTTGAACTGTCCAATCACATGCATTTTCTTAAAGTACTCCTTCTTAAAGTACCGCGTCAACTCTGACTCGGCCGTGTTGCTGCCAGTACTGCCAGTGCTGCCGCCAGTAGTGTCGCCAGTCTTTGGCGCGCCAACAACACCAACGGTCGATGTGAATATGTGATTCTTGAGACAGCAGTCGTCCTGTGAGTTACTGCTACCATTGTCAAATGAGATGAGCTTTGCGCCACAGTAGTTGTTGTGCAGCGTGTGCTCGTCGTCATAGACTCCATTGCGTTTCTTGAAGCCATCGACGATCGTATCCATCTTGAGTGAGAGTGTAATATCATTGGTCTTGACATCCTTTTGTTTGTAGCCACCTTTGTCAGGTGCGCCAATATTAGTCTGTTGCAATTGTTGAATGATTGGATTGTCCTTTGAGTCTCTAACAAATGACAGTACTGCTTTAGGTTGATGTTGTTGCGCTGATGTTGATGTTGTTGATGTTGATGGGGAGCGAAGTTTGTTCGAACTGAACAGTGGATTGATAAAAGAATCGATTGATGGTGTTGGCCGTGGTTTGTTATTTGATGTAGATGATGGCTGCACTCGTTTGCTATGACTATTGATAATTAAATCGCTGTCGTCGTCGTTGTCCTGGCCGTCTGTTATATTGTTGTTGTTATTGTTGCGCTTCTTTGATTGAGGGAGTGGGTCCACTAGCTGTGGCTGTACATAAGGTTTATCATCAAGGTCATCTTTATCCAATGGTGGTCCACCACCTATGTCTGGGTCAAAGTCTCCGCCTCCTCCACCTCCTCCTCCATCATCGTCATTTCCTGTCGCCATTGCTGCCGCTGCCACGCCATTTGACAACTTTATCTTCTTGAGTGGGTTGTTGTCTATATCACCATCTCCGTCACCATCACCATCACCATCCTTGCCTGTTGTTGACGTAACATTGATTGTTGATTGTCTCAATGATGATAATGTACTCGTCACTGCCTGTGTACTGTTGCTGTTGGGCTTGTTTGGAGACTTGTTGGCCACACGGAATGTTTGCAACTCATTCATATTGCTTGAGGAGATGTCAAAGATTGATTGAGCAGTGTCCCACATTGCCTTGAGTCTATCGCGTACCAGGTTGAGCAGTTGCGCCTCCTGATGTATGAACACCTTGCGCTTGTCTGGTGTGACATTGACATCGTACGTGTCGGGCTCAGTCGTGATGTTGATGAACAGCACTGGGTAAGCGCCCTTCTTCTGATACGTGTGATAAAGGCCGTTGACTACCTTGGTCAGCGATTGTAGTTCGATTGGTCGCTTGTTGAGATAGACAAACTGTCTGTCGTTGGTGTTCCTCGTGGCAGACCCGAGGTTGCCGTTGCCCGCGAATGTTGCGCCAGTGCCACTGCCAGCGCCAATCTTTGATATCAGTCCAGTGACAGTGAACAGCTGGTCCGACGCGATAAAGTCGTCGAGTGCCGCCGATATCTTTGCGCCAAAGACCGCCGTAACATTGTTGCGCATCTCCTCCGAGCCAGAAGTCGTGAGCACGGGCACGCGAGTACTGCGCGCCGGTTGATTGTAGATCGCCATACGCACACCCACCGCGACAATGGCGTATTGCTGCAACACTGTCTGCAGCTTGGCATACTCTCGTTTGATGTTGCGTTTGAACTCTTGATAGCGCACGGGTATCCTGCGGAAGAGGTTGGTGAGCGATACGGTGGTGCCGACCTCGCGCGCCACATTGGTCTGCGTGAGGATGGTGCCCGACTGATCATAGACGAGCCGGGTGCCCATCGGTTGAGTTGTGGCGCGCGTTGTGATTGTGACCTCGGCCAGCCCGCACAGGGAGCTGAGCGCTTCGCCACGAAAGCCAAACGATCGCACGTTCAGCAAGTCCTCAAAGCTGTTGAGCTTGGACGTGTAATGTTTGAGTGTGAGGCCGACAAAGTTGTGAGGCTCGACGCCCGATCCATTGTCAATGACTTCGATGGCCTCCTCGCCGTACTCTTTGAGACGCACCTCGACCTTGGTGGCGCCAGCGTCCAAGCTGTTCTCGACCAGCTCCTTGACGGCGACGGACAAGTCGAGGATCACCTGTCCACTGCATATCAAATGAACTGATTCCTTATCGATCATATTAATCTTTGGAGCCTCTGGTGGCGGTGGAGTCTGATCCTTAACATGATGCAATAGTGATGATGGTGGTGGTGTCTGTTGTGATGGTACTATAGATGATGATGAATCATCACTTGCTCCACTACTTGTAACTCCATCATTATTATTATTGTTATTGCTATTGTTATTGTTGTTGTTGTTATGATCCATAATCATAATACTCAGTACTATATAAGAATAACAATGTCATTCATTCATTCAATCAGTCCAATGTCAAATTCAAACACACAACAACGATAATGTCAGACTCTGAATGGCGCCATTCTTGGAAATCATTGTCACTTTTTGAATATTGTCCAAGACATTAGCTATTTACATAGTTCAGTCAATCTGATCAATAGATTATATAAACATACTTATTATCTAGGATATGACCTTCAGATAGATCAAACTCAATTATCATAACTGTTTGATTGAGTAGGAATCCCATAAATTGAAAGTTTTTCAAATTTGAATGTTTGGACTTTGCAACCGCCACAGATAGAAGTGAGTTCAATGAATGAATGATCATTGATTGAGATACAGATACAGCATAGTACGAAGAAGAAGAAGTAATGTCAGAGGTATCAAATAATGATGATAATAGTGATGATGTTGTAATGTCAACTACAACATCAACTACAGACAATATAGATAATAGTACACAACAACATGAACAAGAGGAAGAAGAACATAAACCATCATCGGATGATATGATGGATACATCAACTACAACTACAACTACAACGGCTACAACAAACAACGACAGCAATGACATCAATAATAACAATGATATGACTACATCAATGAATGATGATGTCATTATGAATACAACTTCAACTTCGACTACGACTACGACGACCACTTCATCATCGACAGATATCAACAACGACTCCGCTACAACCAATACCAATAATCTTGGTACAAGCACTGCTGGTACTACTACAAAGTTTGCATCAAAGACATTGTCACATCTCACACAACAACCTCAACAACAACAACAGAATGATGATGGCAATCAACAACCAACCAACTTGGTGTCCAACAAGGATGACATTGATATCACACAGACCAACCTGGATGAACCACGCGACTCACGTGTCATCAAGAACATCCTCAAGACCATGGGTGTCCAATCCCATGATCCTCGAGTAGTCAATCAACTTCTCGAGTTTATGTTTAGTATGTCTCATTCATTCAATCATTCAATCATTCGTTCAATCATACATACTCACTCACTCAATCAATCAATCACTCAATCAATAGAATATGTATACGAAGTACTTCAAGACTCTATAGCATATAGTGAACACTCTGGTCGATCAGAGATTGATATATCAGATATTAGATTGTCGATTCAATCACGTGTCAACTTCTCATTCACTCAACCACCGCCACGAGAGCTACTACTATCAATCAGTGAAGAGAAGAATCGTATCCCACTGCCACCCATCCCACAGAAGTTTGGTGTCCTACTGCCACCCGATGAATACTGTCTCAACTATCCCAACTACCAAGTCGATCCAGCCAAACCTGTAAGTAGTCGCACAACATGTGTGTTGCATCATGATTCCTGGACCTGGAACTGACCATATCTGCCACCTCATTCTAGAAACCCGCACAACATCAAGCTCCACTTAGCCATCCTTCACAACGTGGACAATATAACAAGACAGTGGCAGAGAAGCAGATACCCATTAGATTACAACAACCACTACAGCCACAGCCACAGCCATCTGTTGTGGCCCCACCTCCAATGACAATAGCGCCACCATCAGCCAATGGCAAGCATGATTGATTGATTAAAAGATGGATTGAACAGATATTGAATGGAATGGAATTATGATATGATGTATATATATAATCTATTTATTGGATTGTTGACGTCCAGGTCCAGAGACCAGACCAGACATGGACATCGACAGACACGCAGACACTGACAAACTTAGTTGAGTGTCTCGTATTGTGGACTATGATCGGCATAGTACCATTGGTACCATTCGATAAACAGGAAGATAATGATGTAGAATGCAAAGGTAAGGCCGAATACTACTATTATACCTTGTGGCGCTTGGACAAGGACCATGCCCAGGATGATGGTAACGAATCCAAATACTAGGGTCAGGCGACCGCCAATCCAATGGATGATGTCTGGGAAGATGGGCGTGGAAGTGCGCGTTGGCTTCCACATAAAGTGCGACGTCGAACCCAGGATGATGGACACAAAGAACAGGACCAGCGTGGTAACGCCCAGCTTGGCGTGGTTGGTGGCCATGCTCACGCCACCGACCATCTTGAGCGCCATGGCAATGCCGATGATGGAGAACACTAGGCCAGTGCACTGCACCAGGATGTGCAAGGGGAACCACCACATGTGGGACTTCTTTAGGAAGCGCGCGATGAAGATGCCAAAAGGCATCAACACGCCAAATGTGAAGAACATGAAGCCGACATGGTATCCGTACCATTGTGGCGAGGATGTCGAGCCGCTGCCGCCGGACAACTGGACGGTGACACGGCCAGCGTTGCCCTGGCCATGGAAGCCAAACTGGTTGTCTGTGCCATGTGCCCAGATCAGGTCGAGGCCAGCAGATCCAACGACAATATCACGATCTCCGGCCAAGTCGCCAGTGACCAACTTGCGGGTAAAGATAAAGAAGGAGTAGTCAGAGGTTTGGTAGCCAGAGTAGGACAGGATGTCGTCGGTTCCGTTGACCAGGATGCTGGTGTCGGGTGTGGGGGGTGGGCCGCCGCCTGGCTTGGACACCATGTCTGTGACAGTGACATTATTATTTGGTCCATCGAATGTTGCTATTACAAAGTCAGCATCGACCATTGCCTTTGGTTGACTATCATCATAACGATGCCAGCCAACACCCAACCATGCCTGGACATTAGCAGACACTGCAAATGTTATAGTATCATTAATTATCTCCCACTGGACTTGGTATCCAGAAGTTGTATCCAGTACCAAAGGTGAAGTTAGGCCTGGAAAAAGATTGGTGAGTGTGATTGATCGAATGAGTATGATTGATGATGGGATAGTTCCATTATTGATTGATGTGAGTGAGTGGATAACTACTTACCAGCATTTACACTATTTACAAATAATAAATAATTAATAAATATGATGGAAAGTATATATTTATATTCCATTTTTATATAAAATAAATATATATATATGATATTTGATTGATTATGTTTGATTAATTAATGTTGTTGGATTGATTGATTGAAGTATTAATGAATGATTGAATGAATGATTGAATGGTGGATAGAATAGTCGATTGAGAAATAAATAGTTAAAATGTATATAAATTATATGGTAAGTATCTTCCAACCTATCAATCAAATATATTATTAAAGTGATCGACTATCGATATTAAGTAAAAAAGTATTATTAGTATTGGGCGGAATGTGTCCTAACAATGTTCTGAAGATTTGTTAATGGCTTCCGCGGAACGTGTTCTGAAAAGTATCAGAGATAGATAGAACTGAGCTGAACTGAACAAACACTATTATTGTGTTCAAGGTAGTTGTAGAGGTAGGTAATGTGATACTAACAACAATGGTTACTAATGATACTTTTAGTTCGAGAGTCGCGTAGAATGTTCAAACGAGCATTCCGAGAGCCCCAATTGTTGTGATGGATGATGTGTTGGTTGATTGGTACAGCCCGCATCCAACTTACTAACCATCTGAGTGTTCAAGTACTTTTGCGATTCATCACCTTAGTTGGTGGGGGTGACATCCATCTCATCTCTCTCTCTGCCTCACCTACATCCAGGGATCAAACATCAATCTTCGTAAAAACACAAAAAACATCAACAAAAGTGGGCAAAGGACCACCTTTGATTACTCGTTTGTGGTTGGGCCGGGGCCATATCTCTGTGTTTTGTGTTGACCTTTGCAAAGTTAGTGTACATGTCATCACTCCTGAATGAATGATTGACACACCACCAGTTGTGTTGCCAGTAATAAGCAAAGGTCCTGGGTTACCTTTGATGAATGGCTTTCAAAAATGGCAAAGACAACACATTATTATGTGTTGATCAGGTCGTGACACGCGACAACAATCAAATGTACATTGACACTTTGACCGAGGTGTCGGCACGCTAAATCATTGTACGCACCTACACAATACCATTGTGCCATTGCTGGATGTTTCGGGACGGAACCTTACCGTATCCGCATGGTCCATCAATATATCCCAATAAATAACGAGTGTAGTGAGTCAGCGAGTGATGTGAAGTGACACATGTAAATTACGAAGTCTATAAAGTTGACACCCAGGAACATGTTGGTTGAAGGTAACCTGGCTGGTTTGGTTCATTGTTGTTATTGTTGGGTTATACAGAGTACAGCTGGTAATGATTATACTGATCAGTAGGCTTGGTGAATGGGATTGATTGATCGATGGATGGAGGTGGGGAGTTGATGGATTCATTCGTATTCGTTCGTTCGTTCGTTCGGGAAAATATTATGTAGACCGATTGGACTGGACTGGACTGGACCAGGACTGATCACTTTCCAGTTGTCTTGCCATTGACACCTATCAGATTGTATCGATTGGATGGCGAACTGGAAAAGGTTTCAATGGGTGGACTTAGGTAACTGGCCGAAGGCGATGAGGGAAGTGATGTGATCAGTGGTGAGGATGTTGGTGATGTAAGCGAGAGAATCGAGGAAAATGATGCCAGTGGCGTGTAGGAAGAGTGTTGTGAGTGGGCCGATCCAGAGCTGGACAGTGATGGTAGCTTGCCCATGTTCATCGGTGAGTAGGGCGTTGTTGGTGATGTTGACATTGTCGTTGATTGTGTTGATTGTATTGATTGCGTTGATGATGATGATAATGTATATGAGTTGTTGTTGTTGTTGCTGCCACTTGTGTTTAGGGAGCGTGGACCATGCTCACGTTCGCCACTGGTGGTCAGCGAGTGGATACTGCTGCCAGTCATCACCATCGGTGATGTGGTGTCCATGGTAAAGTCTCTGCTTCGTTTATGTTGATGATGTTTATAATTGGAGGATGTGGTGTTGTTGCCATTACTGCTGCTCAGGCCTCCGCCACTGCCACTGCTACCGCCACCCGTACTATTGCTGCCACTGACTCTTGGGTTGACGACGTGGAAGTTGGCCAAATCTATACTGCTGTTGACACTGTTGTTGCCACTGCCGCCACCATGTTCGCGCTCGCCACTGCTGCTTAGACTTGAAATTGAGATGCTGCTGAACTTGTCAATGTATCGCTCGTTGCTGTCCGAGAGGGAGCGGCCACCGCCGCTGCTGGTCAGATCGCGCACGGGCGACGAAGCCGACGACGATGGTGACCCAATGCTTGAGCCCAACTCTGACACCTCGTCATTGTTCAATATACTCCTGTTGCCTTCGAGATTGAATGTGGACATCTTGACCGGTGTGTTGACTCCCGACTGATGTTGTTGTTGTAGTTGTTGATGATGATGAAGATGGTGATGATGTGTGGGCGTTGACGAGGACGATGACATTGGGGAGTTGGGCGTCACTGTGATCGAGGGTGATGGCGTGGTCGGGTAGGGCTTTCTCTCATGTTGACCAATTGGGTCCTGTAGCAACTCGCTCTCGATGGCAATGTCGGCTGTCTTTGCCAAGTGTGCCAACGTGAACTTTAACTCCCTGTTGCGTTTCACCAACAGATCAATCTTCTCCTCCAATATAGATATCTTTAGATTGACCTCATTCTGTGATGACACCAATGACTCTGTATTTGCTATCAACATTGACTTCTCTCCCTCCAACTTCTCAACCACAACCTCCAACTTCTCCAAATAATCCTTCTTCCTCTCTCTATATTGTGCTGCTGATTGTCTATTCTGCATTTGTCTACATGTTGTGTATCATTCATTGATTGATTGATTGATTAGTACTCATCACAACATAATATGACATTAGATAACATACCTTATCCTCTTCTTCTTGGATTCCTCTTCCTTTGTGGGCATCTCGTCATAGACGAATGACATTGGTGAGCTTACTTGCATTGTTATATCAAAGTTGTACACACTATTAATGTGCGTATATTATCTGTATCACCTTATAATAATATATAAATATGTATATGTTATAAATACACTAAATTGATTGAAATGATTGATTGATATGATTGATTGATTGAATGATTAATTAATTAATAAAATTAGTTATTTAGTTTAAGAGATAATAGGTGACATCATAAATAATAATAAGTTATAATGATGAATGATTGAGTGTGACACACTAACGATGTCAATGTCATCATAACATAACCCTCTAAGAGTGAGTGTGTGAGAGACAGAATGATACATCATCAGAGGATCAGACCCTGTACACACACTACTCTTGCCCCTATCCCAAATGGCCCAGTTCTCGCAAGAGGAGGCAATCACACAACACACACAAACAATCAAAACAAACAAACACAAATCCAACAACACACACTCACTCAGTCTCTCGAAGACGCTCGATCTTTGAATGAGCAAGAGTTTGATGGTTTGCTGGCGTGGTCACGATGGCTGGGTTTGGGATGATGACAGCGCTACAACCTTGTTGTTGTTGTTGATGTGAATAGATGAATGAATAATGCGTGTGTGTATGATGAATGTGAATCGATTGGAGATGGGTATCAACCATTAGTGGCTATGTGTTCTCAAAAAAAACACATGATGGTTGTTGACGACAAAGTAATTAGGATGACTGGACTAACACTGAGCCTCGTAATAGGCCCTAAAAGTGCCACAATTGGTTTTTGGGCCTGGGTGGTTGTTGATTGATCCAAAAACAATGAGATTGTACATGGATCTCGATTTAAAAGCACCCAATCATGTAAACGTGATTGATTGAATGTACACACAAGATATTATACTTACATGATTGGTTGATTATTGGTATTGGATTATTATATGAATATATATTGATTGATTGATGATATAGATAGATTGACGATTACTTATTACAATTATTATTATTATTTATGATCAGGTGGATGACGATGATGTTTCCGTCTTGTGTTGGTGGGAAAAGGAAACAGGTCGTGCCATCAGAGAATGCACTTAATTGACTCTCTCACGATTATTAATTAATTAGTTGTAGTTTTTGCCTGCAAACGGAAATTGAAAAAAAAGAAAAAGAAGGACTGATGACGCCAAGGGATATTGTTAGAAGTGGAGGTGTTGTGATCACAACCAATGTGGGTGGGTGATGTGGGTGCACCCGGGCGGGGGGAAACATGATCAAACTTTGCAGATGTCGACGAACTTGTCCAAAGTGCTGTCATCTTGTTGGAGACCACCTTGGTGCCTGGCCCTATCCTCCTTCATTGATTATCCAAAATGCAATGTCAGTGTCGTATGTCCGGAAGTAAATGTGGTTCCATCACCAATCGTCAATAGATGTACGGAGAAGTGTCAATCACAAGGCTAAGGGTGGATTGGCTAATAAATATGTTGTGTGTGTGTTGGCATTGTTTATTGATTGTTTGGTTGTTGTTGTTGATGTTGTTGGGGTTGTAAGGCTGGAGCCAAGTCTTGGCTTGGCCCCCAAGTTATTGTTATTACCACATCCTATCCAATCCAATCCAATCCAATCCAATGGTGTATATATATATATATATATATCTAACTATGTGCAAAGGATCGAATTGATGGATGACCGCTGGTCAGACGAAGACGATGATGTGTAGTCCTGATCATCGTTGGAGGACTGCTCCTTTCCATCATTACTGCTGTTGCTGCTCCTTCTAAGTCGCTTCTCGGGTGATTGTGATGTTTCGCGAGCCAACAGTACTTGGCCACTGCCGCGTGGAGAGTGGTCCACAGTGGGTGGAGAGTGATCCTGTTGATGTGATGGACGTGCCACGTATATCAGGGGCGGAGTGTCGGAAGCGGGACTTGGGGTGGCTGAGGTCAGGTCATGGAAGTTGGGACCCTCCACTGACTTGCGTTTCTTGAAGTCAAACATACCCATCGTGCTGTTAAAGTGCTCGAATGGCGCAGATGCCGAGTGCATCTTTGGCAAACCAATTTGATTGTTGAATGGGACTGAGGCTGATGATGATGATGTGTTGTTGTTGGATGAGCTATGTACATTGGAGGAGAATGGAGGAAGTGTCGAGGAGGAAGAGGAGGAGGACGATGATGATGAGTAACTGCTCATCGATAAAATTGTGTTGGGAAAGTCTTTGGACTTGGTGTTGTTGTTGCGTGAGGGCGAGGCGATAAGCTCGGCAAATGGTGTGCCGGGTGAAGAGAGTGTGGAGGAAGTCTGGGAAGGGGAGAGGGATCTATGCTGCTGGTTAGGCACCATGGGGCGAGGGGACGATGGCGGGGACTCCATGGAGAAAGAGTCTGGCGTGTCGTCGCTCGACAAGTCGTACATTGGCGACGAGGCTGAACCCGCTGCACCATGGCTGCGGCCACTGCCTGACGCGGCAGCCTCTTCAAAGACGGGCATCGACGATTCGTTGTAGTTAAAGTCGCCTGGGATGGCACCGTTCTCCTTCAGATAGCCGAGTGCTGAGAACAGGATGGTGATGTGCACCATGTTGGGGATGGGGTCGACCGTCCACGAGTAGATCGTCTTGGACAGCGAAGACTTGTCATAGTTTGTAAAGTGTTTGAATGAGCAGCATATCTTCCAGACGAGGTCGCGCTGCTTGCTTGTGAAGCGCGACAAACTTGGCGACCATGTTTGCAGCAAGGCCAGTTGTGAGAGAACTGAAGGAAGGTCTGTGGACCATACTGATGGTGGCTTCTGATTGGCAACACATTGTTGTTGTTGTTGTTGAGGTTGTGGTTGTGGAAGAGACAGTGGCTGTTGCTTTGTGGCCTTGGATTGTTGCTTTACCGTTTGTTTAACGGGATGGCTTGGACTGGACGGGGTTGAGCTATTCATGGAGCCAGAGCCAGAGGCCGAAGCTGAGGCAGTGGACGAAGGAGTCGCCATGGACAGTTGATTCTTTGGAACGCGCACACTGGTGGATGGCGCGGTGAGACCTGGGATGGAGAATTGTGGCTGCACGGGTGGGAGTGCTGGGAACTGCTTGGCGTTCTCCATCTGAGCTTGGGTGAAGGCGGCAAAGTAGGTCTCAATGTCCATCAGGTCGACGGACTTCTCGCCCAGCCATGCGTTGATCACTGGCGTGAAGGGCATGTCACAGGGGCGTGGCTCCTGGCCGAGCAGCTGGAACACATGAGTCCAGACCATGCGTCTAATAGACGATGGACACTTGTCCACGATATGAGAGTACTGCCTCAGTATGCTGAGCAGGTTGGCATAGAAAGATATCGACTCGTAACGTTTAAACGTCGGTGAGTAGAACATTGAGTCGTTGGCAGGCGGTGTATCCATTTTTCTTGTTATATATCTGTTGCTCCCTTGATTGAATATCGGATATGGATATTGATTGATTGATTGATTGGATATGAATGTTGAAGTGATAGACTAGTCTATTTTTGATGATGTTGATGATAATGTTAGAGACTGGAATTCTTGGGGGCGCATCAAAGATTGGATTGGCACGCTGGATTCGAGTGGAATGGATCGATGGCGGTGATGGGATGTTTGTTGTTGTTGAAGTTGGTGGGTGGGATGTGTGCGTGGCCTTCACGGATATCGTGTAATCAATTCAACTGATTGAACGTTGACAATATGTTAATGTTATTGTGGTGTGTTTGTATTTGTTTGTGTTGGTGTAGTATGGGCTATGGGTAAGGGGTGAGGCGAGGGCGAAGGGATGTAATAATAAGTGTGAAGTGTAGTGGTGGGTCCACACGATATATTGTTGATTGATTGATTGGAAGGGTGTGTGTGTGTGTGTAGTGAGGGCAAGGCTTAAAGACCTTATGTATATTATAATATATATATCAATAAATGTAGTTGAGATGGATGGGATGTTGTTCAAATGAAATGAGTGTTTGAACTGATGATGAACCACCAGTGTTTGGTTGGAATGATTGATTGATTGTTTGTTTGTTTGAACAGCATTCATTCACATTCATTCACATCCAACTACTTCGGATGGAGATTGGAATCCAGAGGCCGAAAGTGCCAGCAACTCCACAACACACTCTAAACATCGCGATCAACTACATCCAACTTGGTAAAGTAAAGTTATAACAAATCAGAAAGAGTGTAGTGGCTCTCCTGGGGGTAATGAATATGTGTATGTGTGGGTGGGTGAGTGGTAGTCGGTTGGTTGATCATTGTGATTGCCCTCGTGATTGTGATGGGGTGTTTGGGTGTGGGTGTTGGGGGTATTGATGAAGTGAAAGGTGTAGGATGAGGGCAAGACCTTGGAGGTAATGAACACTGATCACAATGATCCAACATGACCTGCCTGGGCAAGATTGGATTTATCCTTACAAATATAAATTGAGTGACTTTTCTTTTAACACTGGTCAATGTCTTTAAGTCCGATGATGGTCAATGTAGTCGCGAAGTCTCAATATGTTTGTTTATCTGTCTCTGTGTATCTATCTTTGTTTGTAATGTTGGATGTTAATAAATAATAATTATAATTATCTATTACATGTATTTATGATTGTATATTTATGTATAACAACAATGTATGAATGAGTGAATGAATTGAAGAATTGAATGTGTGATGGTGATTGGTTGATGAGAGACTTCGTCAACACAACAACAACAAAGGAGAAAGAAAGAAAGACGGTCGTTTAAAGTCAAGATGTTCAGACGGTCTGCGATCCCGAGGGTGGGCGGGCAGGTGGGTGGTGCAGTGATGGTGATGGGATTCTTTCCTTTGAATCGGAGGTGGAGGAGTTATAGTATGGCCTGCCCAGACCTGGCAGATATGGGGGGTGGGTATGTAGGAAGGAACGAGGGTTATACAATACATACATCAATCGCCAGATATCCTTTGCCACGCTACAATTCACCATATTTAACAGCTGACGCGTGTTTACAAAAAAGTATCATGATTGATCGCAATTTCCGATGCAAGTTGACCGAATGTCTTGACTCGTTTGACACTCGAGCCAGGTCAGGCATGTTCGAAAACGAGTCCGACTTTGGCTGAATTGATGGATGGACTGTCGGGTGTGTGATGGTGCACAAGAAGGACAGACCCTCAATTCAAGGATTGAAGGTGCCAAAGTGACTTTACTTTCTCTGTTTCTACAACTTTGTTTGCTTGCAAGAACAACAACACATGCACAGAAACACAAGAATGCGCAAAGTCTAGAGCCTGTGGCTGTTTTGTCTTTGCTGACACCAATGTTGGTTGAGGCCTTGTGATTGAGACCACACGAGGCCAGGGTTGGGCCACTTACACTTTGTATTTTTGAACAACTACGAAACATGTAACTCTATCAAACAGATTATCTCGATACTTTATAAATATATTTAGATATTATATTAAAATTTATGTTGTTGTTGTTGATGGTGATAACAAAAAGTTACATCTATGTTTGTTTGATGATGATGAGAATGGATTGTACAAGTAGTACTGTATGGTAAAGTATGATGATAGATAGATATATAATTGATTGATTGAATTAGGTTGATTGATTGGTTTGATTGGATATTTTAAGATTGTTTTAAGTGTTGAAGACACACTTATACAACCTAAAGTCACAAGTTAATGGTATCGCATCAACAACTCTGGTATCATCAATCGCCAATCATTGAGTTCGATAGACCAACAACACACACTCATAGAGACTACTAGGCCTGTTGACAATATGAATGGATTGGCTTTGATGTCAGTTAGACACACAAACGCACATTCATCGAAGCTCTAGAGTGTTTTACAATTTCGACCCCAATGACCAAACATGGACAAACAGGCCTCATCGAGTCCAATCATTGAGCACTGGAATCACAAACACACTGTGCCACAAGGGTCCATTGTAACAAAAATTGGGTAGGGTAACAATCGCTGTTTGCCAATGGTTCAAGTTGATACAAACTAGGATCGACTGGGTCAAGGGAGGACAAACGATTATGTGTGTGTTGTACGAATAATTTGGATACCTTGGTGAAGGTCCTCTTGAAATATCAAAGGGCATATACCCTTTGAAAGAGTAGTAGTTTGATATGTGATTGATGGATTGATTGATTGATTGATTGATGGATTGATTGATCGATTCATGATAACCTACCTGTATTACTATGCTCTACTAAGTAATCCTACTAATAATAATACTATTACATTGATATTCAATTGAGATGTTTGGTGTTTGAAGGGAAAGTTGTAAACTAATTCATCAACATCAACTTCGTCATCACCAAACAACAACACCAACTACACAACGACCAACAACCATCACCAAACTACAATAACCATTAATAAAGGTGCCATGTCACCGTGGTCTTCCAGGCCCGGAGGAATGGGCGATAGGTTCAGGCCAGGCCAGGTTGGTAAAAGCAGATGGTCGTTGTCTCGAATCTGGCGAGGAAATATCGAGATAGTTTTATCGTGATATTTAAAGTTACTAAAATTTATCTCCATCGCTGAGATAATTGTAGAAAAGATATCGATACGAGTATCCTTGATCATTATCCAAATTTCTTTGATAATAATAACGACTTTGCCCACTGAGATCCAGATCATTTGTTATTTATCTCTCTCTTGGCTTTAAGCATCATGATTTCTTTGCATTACTCTTTGCTCGAGTTGTAGTGAAGATCACTTTTTAAAATTATCAAACAGATAATTTTGGTATCTGGTATCTATCTTTGTATCTTTACGGACTGGTAACAACAAGACTCTACTCGTTGAGACTCGAGAACTGGCGGTTGAAGATAATGATATTGTTGGGATTTTGTTTAATAAAGCTTAATGTAAGGTGGAAGGGATTTAAACATCGTTTAACAATTTATCAATCGCTCCTTTTTAGTACATAAATGATGTTGTTGTACATCAACGAAGTAGACCTCATGGTTTGAGTCGTCATGATTTTAATACTTTATCCACCTTCTCTCATGTTAATCAGAGACATCTTAATAATAATAATAATTGACATACTTACATGTTTATTTATTATTGTGTAGTTATAACTACAGGAATGAATTGATGAATGAATGTATGAGTGAATGAATGAATGAATGAATGAATGTTAAGTGTATTCCTTCAAACCCAGGGGTGATCCGGGAGTGTAGTATAGTCCGGACAACTTCCTGTTTAGGCCTTGAATTGAAGATTGAGTGTTTGAATGAACGTGTGAATGAATGAATGAAAGGTTGAGTGTTCACATCAACTATATCATTGATTGATTGATTGAGTAGATATATATATATTTAGAGATATAGATATAGTATTACTACTATTATACATACGAATAATTCAATATAACAATGGATTTGAAAGGTCGTTCATTGCAGGGCGTCCTTCAATTCGATCAGTTGGAGTTCAGTGATAGTGTAGCTGAGAAGCTTGAACAAGAGTCTGCTCATCTAAAGTCATTGATCACACAGTTGCTTGGTGGCGACCCAAACAATACTGGTGTCAACAACAGCAACAACAATAACAATAACAATAGTAACAACAATAGTAATATACACGATTCATTCACGATAAACAATGCAACAAGTAATAGTAATAGATATTTGATCAAAGAGATTGATGTACTGTCTGACATCACAATGCTGTTGAAGGATCCATCCACATCACAATCGACCAAGCTAAAGATCTTTGACGAGTTGATCACTATATTCAAACTATGTCCACAGAACTGTATAAGTGTGTTCGTGGCCTCACAGACATGCAACAGCAACAACAACAGCACCAGTAGCGAGGCATTGCGACGCTCTCAACAACAGGCACAGGCAGCGGCGGCCATGCTTAGGAAGTCAACAACACTCAACATCAACAGGAATATGCTGTTGTTGGATGAGATCATCCAGCTGCTGCCCTCACTCGATAATGAGAAGGTGCTGTTCAGGGCCATGACACTGATCGAGATGCTGGCCAGCTATCACATCTCTGTCGTTCAGCTCAAGTGCCTGATCTCCTACTTTGACCTGTCTAGTCCCACCTCTCTTCGACGTGGTCTAAGCCAGCTCCTCACCTGTCTCGACAAGATGACTCACAAGATTGGTCCAAACTCTGCCTTTAACCTCGATGGAATGAATGCTGTATGTTGGTCCTTGGTCCTTGGTCTTGGAATGCCCTTGGCACGCAAACCAATACTAACGTAACTCAAACATCATACACTTCAGGGACTGTTATTGGATCCGATTGGGAAGCTGTCCAATGTTGGATACTCAATCAGCATGTGGATCAACATTGATTCGTTTGTGTCTCGTAGCAAGTCATTGACAAAGTATGAGCCGCGCCTGTTTAGCTTCCTCGAGAGTGGAGACGGCGGCTCAGGCATCGAGGCCTACTTTGTAAAGAACAAGCTGGTGGTACGAATCAACTCCAAGGTGGAGGCGGTGGTCGACCCGCCATTCGAAGCCAATCGCTGGCAGCACATCGTCGTACAGCAGCAACCGTCCAAGTGGAACCTGTTCAAGCAGAGCTCGGTGCTGACCGTCTATCTGGACGGGCGACAGATACACCAATGCGAGATCAAGTATCCATCCACCTCCAAGTTGTTGACAATGTGTTCCATTGGCATGGTGCACTCTAACACCGCCAATGCCAAGACTGTCAACTCACAGATTGCTCAATGCTGTCTCCGTGGCCAACTTGGCCCGATCAGCTTCATGACTGGCGTGCTGTCCGAGAACAAGGTCAACAAGATATTCAAACTTGGTTCGAACATGGTCTTGTCGCCACAGTATAAGAAGTATGTGATGTGTCAGTGAACTAGCGAGCGATCAATCACTAACCTACCTAACCCATCTAGCAACATGGCATTGTCCAAGAAGTTCCCTCGCATTCTATTCTCCTTCTCACCAAAGACGTATCATTCGGGCGTCTGTCACGATGTTGGCCATCACAAAGAGTCAGACTCGACGCTTAACTCACACTCGACTGGTAGTCTCACAATCTATTCGACATTCTCTATCAAGGACTCGCTGTACTGTCTCGGGGGACCGCAAATCCTGTTCCCCCTGATCAGCCAGATGGCCGAGCGACCCAGCCAACTACCGTCCGACTATCCATCCATCCAATCAATCCTCTCATTCCTCGCACACATACTAAAGAACGACAACATACAACAAGAGGAGATGATCAAGACCAATGGCTTTGAGCTCCTCGGTCACCTGCTCGAGCAAGTGATGAAGTGCGCCAAGGCCAACTCACTGGACATCAACAGCAACATCATTCAATCAATCGATGAACTCATACAATCATGTTCAAAGAATGGTAAGTGGCATAGGCGCGCGGACGGTCATCCCCATGACCTATACTCTAACGCACATTCAATCACATCATCAGAGACGCTACTACTGTCAATATATCAGAACATTGTATTCAACTTTCACATATGGATCAGTACTTCCAAGGACATCCAGATCACATTGCTGCGTCTGGCATTGGACAAGACGATTAACTCCATCAAGTACATTCGCAAGTACATCACCGTCCGCAGTCTACTCGACTCTGTAAAGTATTATTATGCACAGGGCAACAACAACAACAACTCAACATCAGTGCGTAGCAGTGTTGGATCCACCTCCAATACAACTCAGCACCAGCAGCAGGCGACATATTCATCATCACCACTATTATCATCACAATCGAGTCATCAAGGATCTCCACGAGTTAACAGACTATCACTCAATGCACCACCGTCCATAACAATCAGTGGCGGTGCCAACAACAATGTATCCAGCAACAACAACATCTACAACAACGGTCTGACAGCGAACGATACCAAAGAGATCATATCATATATCTTCACATTGATTGAGATGATCATCACGTCCAACTCGAATGACAACAAAGACGATGTACGTATCCCCATGCATGATCAATCATTCATTCACTAACAGTCAATCATACAGATACCCGAGGTCCAGGACTTGATTGAGTTTGTCCAGGACTCAACATGCGACAACATATTCATCATTGAGACACTGTCGATATTTCTCAAACTCATTCACTCTGGCTCTCGAGGCTTCCTTTCAAGCTTTGAGCAGTCTGGCGACATCAAACCTCTGTTTGGCCTACTGAGGCGCGACAATGAATACATCAAAGTGCTCTCGCTTAAGATCATTGGCAAGTATCTGTCAAGAGCATCATCTTCCAAGGGCCTGGCAAAGACTGCGCTGTCGAGCGACAACACATTCCATATGGTGACAGACTCTTTGATCGATTCTCCAATGACCGACCTCATCTACCGCACGCTCTCAGAGCTTGTTGTTGACAAGATCGCCCCATCCATCTCAGAGACATCCAACTCTCCCCTGCTGGACCTGGTCGGTAATCACGACCTGACGGGCGTGGTATTCAACATCGATGCATTGCAATCGATCTGCACACTTGGCACACGAGCCTTCTCATCACTACAGCAACAGATTCTAAACGAGGTGTCGTTGTGCATCAAGCACATGTCATCAGTGCGCCAGGCGATCATGGAGAGCAATCATTGGCAATCATGGATGCTTTCGATGTGGCCGTCACCGCCATCGACCCCATCGTCGCCCTTGTGGTCACCACCACTCTCGCCGTCCAAAGCGCTGTTCCTTGGACAGCCCATATCAAGCGTGTACGATTCACCAATCTTGAATGCGATGAGGGCGTCTGCACAAGAGCCCAGACCTGCACCATCGGCAAACCGCGTGTACCAGAGCGGTGTGAAGGAGATCCTCACTGGCATCCTCAAGATCCTACTCAATGACTGTGTTGCTAAGCGCGATGGCTGGAAGGTCATCGAAGAGACCCAAGCATGGGTATCCACCATGCTCCCCAACGGACTGCCACTCGAGCGAAGGATCTTCTACGAGTGTCTGGTCAAACTTGAGCAGGATATCAAGAAGTATGTATTAAGGGAGGTGGGGAGTGCAATGTGATGATCCCATCATCACATGACTAACTCGATCACACACAGCCCATCAAATCAATCAGTGGGATTGAAGAACTATGTCAATCTGATATCGATTATTGAGGACTTTGTGTTCTCGCACTCGATGAACATCTTGGCGCACAGGAACAATCAATCACAATGGGAGGACTTTGGACTGGTGGCAAAGTTGTTGGACATCTTTGACAACACTCAGTCCATTCAAACACAGGTTGTTCAGAAGCCTGGTCCGACGGGCAGCAACAGCGCCAGCACATCCCTGCAACAACAACATCAGCAGCAGCAACACATCCAAGCACCATCATTCATCGTCGCACTCTCGAGCAACATTGACCTGCCCACGATCGACGTGTCGAGCGGGTCGTCAAAGGCCAAGAGTTCAATCAACACCATCCTACGCTTCATCATGTGCATCTTCCAAGAGGCCGAGTCATGCTTCTATGGCGAGCGACAGATGGACGAGCAGCTTCACCACCACCACCAGCAACAACAACAACAGCAGGTTGAGCTGACTGGAGATGAGGAGGAGCGAAGCTTTGTGATCCGCGTGTGGGGCTTGCCTTTGATCTCTGAGGAGATCGATCAGATCATATCAAAGAACTCAATTCGAATCCAAACCATACTGGCAAGTGAGCGCGATCAGAAGGAGCAGGTCAGACACGTGATGTGGGTCATCTCGATATTGATCAATATCATCAGAAGGTATCGCGAGCACAACAATGATCCAATCCTCAAGCGAACGCAATCAATCATCATATCTTTGCTCAAGTCCCTGCTCAAGACCTATGGCGACTTGATCGACACTCACATTGCGCCCAGCGGCGTGCTGTCCCCGCAGGCAGACCAATCGTCTTCGGGCGCCGGTCGCACTATTGGCATTGGCGACACCACCAATCAATCACTCAGCAACCATCTGTTCTCGGTACATTCGATTTCCTCGCTGAATGAGCCTGGCGACGCACACAGCGAGTTCCTCACATACTTCAAGGAGAAGTTGTTGTACAAGATCCCACTGCTGGACCACCTCCACGAGGCCAAGGACCTGCATGAGAATGCCAACCTCGTGACGGCCTTTGCCATGACACGCAAGAACAAGGTGGTCGAGCAGATCAAGCAAGCACACCAGAAGGAGCAAGAGAGCGTGATGCAAAAGGTGCAGAAAGTTCAGAACAAGGCATTTTCAATGTCACAAAAGATGGAGATCAATGAGCTACAACGCCGCAATATGCAGGAGAGCACGGTGGAGGGCCACCGTCGCTGGGCCGATCGCCTGTGGAGGAAGAACTACAAGAGATTGACTCGCGAGATCACTCCCTGGGGATACACCGACAGATCGGCGCCCAAGAAGTTCTGGAAGCTGATCAGCCAAGAGAACAGCAATCGTCAATCCCGTTTGCTCAAGCGAGATTACAAAGGATCCGATCATGTTGGTGCGGCACTTAGACCCAGCAATGCGCAGGCACCCGGCGCAGCTGTGCCAGGTACTTCGACCACGACGACCACTTCATCGTCCACGAGTCGTGGACAGCTACCTCAGGACGTTGACCTGTTGCAGAGGGTGGCGTCCAAGGCGCGCAAGTCCAACATGTCATCATCTGTCGATGTTCTCGATGAGGACGACCTAGTAGGCTTTGAGATGGAGGATGGCGACATTGTGGTTGACGAATCACACACAAACAGCGAGTGGTGTGTCGTCAGCGATGGATTCAATGATGAGCCCTCGAGCACACAGAGCATCAGTTCGTCATTGGGAATGCCAAGTTCAATCACATCGACGGCATCCACCACAACCTCCTCATCACTGCCTGCCAGTGCGACCACACATCAGCCCACTGACAAGCCTTTGTACAGCACTGGTGGCGAGATCATCAAGCCCATGATAGTGATCAGAGTTCACATCATCATTTATCAAAGCCGCCAGTTGTTGGTGTCGGCCAGCTCAACGGACCAAGAAGACCCAGAGAACATCCCCGCGAGCGCACTAGTCGACCGCGTCTACGACATCAAAAAGATCATTGGTGTGCAACATCGTCGCTATCTCCTGCTGCCCACGGCCATCGAGATCTTCTTTAGCGACCGTCGCAGTCTCCTCCTCAACTTCCCTTCGGCACACATCATGGCGCTGGTCGTCAAGCACCTGAGCAACCTGTGCGAGTCGTCGGTCTTCTTCAAGAACGCATCACAGCTGCAGCTCTTTGACAACAATCGTGGCGTCTCGCCCCAGCAGACACTTCTCAAGTATCTCAACCCGACACAGCGTTGGAAGCGCCGAGAGATCTCCAACTTTGAGTACCTCATGACGTTGAACACAATCGCCGGACGATCATACAACGATCTCAATCAATACCCAGTGTTCCCTTGGGTGATTGCTGACTACAACTCTGAGCAACTGGACCTCAACAACCCCGCCACGTACCGCGATCTCAGCAAACCGATTGGCGCACTCAACCCAACGCGTCTCGAGCTGTTCATCGAGCGCTATCAGCAGTGTCCAAAGGAGATACCCGCATTCATGTATGGCACGCACTACAGCTCGAGTGGCTCGGTGATGTTCTTTTTGATGCGCTGCGAGCCGTTCACATCCCACTTTATCAAGCTGCAGAGCGGACACTTTGACCATGCCGACCGCATGTTTGACTCGGTGGTGGACTGCTGGCGCAACTGTTTGAATAGCTCGTCCGACGTCAAGGAGCTCACGCCCGAGTTCTTCTACATGCCCGAGTTCCTGCTCAACCTCAATAACGTTCACTTTGGCGTCAAGCAGAATGGCAAGGTGATGAGCGAGGCTGTGCTGCCACCATGGGCCAAGACATCGTTCCACTATGTGCTCCAGAATAGGATGGCGCTCGAGTCTGAGTACGTATCACAGAACCTTCATCATTGGATCGACCTGATCTTTGGACACAAACAACGTGGCAAGGAGGCCATCGCCGCGCACAACGTCTTTTACTACCTGACCTATGAGGGCAGTGTTGACATTGGCGCCATGCAAGACCCAATCCTGCGAGAGGCCACAAGAGTGCAGATTAACAACTTTGGCGTCACACCCTCACAACTGTTCCAAACGCCACATGTCCAGCGTGACCCGCCCAAGTCTGTCGTGAACAGGCTCTCCTTGCTCAAGATGCTCAAGCCACTGCAGATGGTCTCCATCCCATTCTCACCAGCCCGTCTCTTTATGTTTAGTGGCGCGGGCAGCTCTGGAGGAGTCGTGGGTCCAGTTGGCAGCGTGGTCGGATCGTCCAACAAGGACCAAGGCGACCGTGTCCTCATCCTTGGTGCCAACAGCGACATTCAATTCCTAAAGATCAACTATGACAATAGTACAAGTCTGATTAGCAACTCGGTCGCTGGCAGCATCTCCCCAATCTCCTCGATGATCCCCATCTCTGTGATCAGTCAGCTAAACGTGCATCAGTTCCCAATCTCATTCTCGCAGTCACTCAAGACGCGTATAGGTCATCCTTACTGCTCGATACCAAACAACCACCGCATACTGTTTGCCAGCGGCAAGTATGAGTACACACTCTACGTCATATTTGGAGACAGTCGCCTGAGCATTGGCCAAGTGTGCCACAAGGCGCCAATCACTTGTATCACCTATCAGGAGATTGATCGTGGAGAGAAGTGTGGCGTGGGAGGAGTCAGCTTGCGTCAACGCATCGTTGTCACTGGCAGTGAAGACACAACCGCCATCATGTGGTTGTTTAACGAAGAGGACTACTCAGTCAAGCCCTTGCATACATTACGCGGCCATGACCTCGGAGTGACATGCGTCGTGTTGGATGCCGACAACGACATTTGTGTCACTGGCAGCAAGGATGGAACGATCATCATTCACACCATCCTCAAGGGAACATACATCCGAACGATCACACATCCCAACAACCTACCAATTAACAACCTCACACTGACTGATGATGGAAGCATCTTCTTCTACTCCAACTCAACTGTAAATAGTGGCGATAATGATGGCAACGAAGAGAAACATATTATCTATCGTTATTCAATCAATGGATACCTGATCCAGACAATACCAACCGACATTCAGCCGTCCATTTCCAAGATGGTGCAGATACGTTCGAGCACCGGCATGAATGGATACTTCATCACATCTGGTGGCTACCAGATCATTGTGCGCGAGCTACTCAATCTCGAGATCATCCACGTGTTTGACGTGCGCAACCTATCATCATTCATCAACAGCAACATTGTGGTGGACTTTTGTCTGTGGAATGGCAGTGAGCAATCGATTCAAGAGAACTCCAACAGCAAGATTGATCAACTGTCATTGTTGGTGTTGTTGGAGAGTTGTCAACTATTGATCTATAACATTGATGATAATGGAATAAAATCCCTATCTGATTGATGTTGTTGACCAATCATCAATCAATCCACTACTACTTGGAGCAAGCTGTTGTTCAGCAACAGGTTTATTTGGAATCGCCCATAAGCAAAGGAACAAGGACAAGATGCTGCGCAGGTGTACCAAGGTTGTAGCATGTAGGTCCTTCATGTGTAATGCACTTTACTTCCTCCAAGAACTTTAACTTATTTCCAGCCGATACCTAAAGGGTTTGGTTGATCAGTCCTCGTGTTCATAACCCGCTCACTCACGCTGTCTTCACTTCACTTCACTTACATCATAGTCAATCTCTCCTATTCTGAGTATTGCCTTGCCAGACTTGTATATCTTGAGATTGCCCAGTCGACCTGATGGCAATGACTTGAGTGTGTTGGTAAAGTCACCTGGATAGATCATTGGGACGAATGAATGTTTGTTCAGTACTGGCTTCTCAGCACTGTCTATCGATGTTGTGGTTTCGTTCGATTCCAATCCACTGGATGTCGATGCTGGTGGCTTGGCCACGCCAGCAGCTGGCTTGGCAGGTGGTGCCATGGCAGCAGGCTTGCCCAACAATGTTGGCATTTGATTCATATTCATAATGGGTCGAGTTTGAGTTGATGGCAGTGATGTTGGCAGTTGAATGAAGAATAGATGGTCATCATTGAGGAACACCCCATCATTGTAGAATGGTTTGATTGATTGCTCGATTTGTTTCTTCTTATTGCCAACGATTGTACTGTTTGTCTCCTCAATCAATGCGTCCAAGTCTGTAGAGTCTGACATTTCTCCATTCTGTATTTTCTCTTCATTCATCGTTGTCGAGTTAGTGAGTGATTGCCGCGTGACGATCACGATGTACATCGTCAGGTAACATACCTTGTATCTCCTTCTTCTTCTTCTCAAGGTCCAACTTGGCATCCTTGAGTGAGTATTCCTTCATGACCTTTCTTGGATCGACCAATGGAAGATGTGTTGGATGATTGGGTTGCATTGGATCAATCTCCATCTCATGGAACAACTGGTTAACCAATTCCTCGTTCAACTTGTTCTCAGCTCTATTCGACTCCCCTGTTCACATGGTGTCAGTCAGTCATTCGATCAGCAAACATGATTGAATGATGTAGTACATACTGAGTTGATTCCTTTCCAGCATTGAATCGGGTAGACTGGAGAGTGGAAGGGATGGTGCATTGGAGAGGGCGGACAAGTTTGAACCAGGTTTCCTCGCACGAGGGTTCATGTTTGATCGTATAGTCTTGCTCCTATCATGTTTAGGTTTCTGATCAGATATCGTTCCAATTGGTGACATTGAATCTTTAAGCAAGTCTGATATAGGTCCTGACAATATACTATCTGCTTTGTTCCTATTGATTGATTGTTTGATTGATGATGTTAAGACATTGCCAAGCTTTGCTTGAATGAGATGGGACACTAAACTACATACTCGACCTTCTTCCTTGGTACTAGATTGGGCATGAACTCTTTCTGTTAAGTATGTGAATGAGTGAGTGTAAGTATGCTTGGGATCAATCATGTTAGGCAAGGAAGGCTAACCTTACCTTTGGTCTTGGTGCACCAGGTATGTTGGGTGCAGGTTGTGCACGAAGGGATGTTGGTTGTGTTTGTATAGGAGCCATCATTGATGGTGTAGTTGTTGTTGATCTAAATGGTGGAGTAGTAGTGGATGTTGATGTTGTTGATGTTGTTGATGTTGTTGACGTTGATGATGGAGCTGCCGCAGGCTTTCTTGCAGTTGGTGGTATACCAGGAGCTGGCTTTCCTCCTCCTGGAGCAATCGTATTCAACTTCTTCAATCGTACCAAAGGAGGTACATTTGACATATCCCTATCTCCCATCCTTATCTATATCTGATTATCTCTATCTTTTTAGAAGAAGTAGTTCGTTCACAAAGTGGAGGGAACGACTTTTGTAAATCAAGAAAATGAAGTTGACTCCATTTCATTTCATTCATTCGCTCAACTTCATAAACAGATAGAGATACAATGATGAGGAGATTCAATAGTATTGATGAAGAAGATATTGATGTAGATATAGATAATAATAACAATAATAGTAATAATAATAATAATAGGGGCGGTAGTATTGGAAGGAAAGGTAGAACAAACATGCAGGATATATCAGATACAGATAGTACTATAGTCAATGCACTGAGTACACTACCATCGAATGGTGCATTCTCTAAATATCAATCATCAAGTGGCATTACAAATGGTGTCGAATCAGTATGTTATATATTTGATTGATTGATTGAATGGTCTGAACCAACTTATACTTATTCATTCGTTCATTCATTCATTCCATTAGGAGTTACCAAAGTATATACCATATCACACAAGCAGTAGTAGCAGCGCGAGTAATAGTCCATTTATAAAGAATGATGAGACCAATGTATTAATAAGATCACTTTTAAAGAATACTATAAGACTGAAGAATAGTCCATTGATCAATGATCCTGCATTGTCAACATCCACTACATCAACCACATCAACTACCTCAACTACATCAACATCATCAACGACATCAACATCATCACCATCAGTTTCAAAAAAGACAAAGAGAGATACAGATGGAAGCATGGCACAATCTGGCGGCTCAAATGGCAATGGAAGTGGCAACAATAGTAGGGACAAGAAGAGGAAGTCTTAGACCTTTAATATTACTACAGATGGTACACTATGCCACTGAATAAAGGAGGTATCTTGGGCTGACAGTACTCAACCTTGTTGATGCCTGCAAACTCTAGAAGTCGTTTGACGATGCCCTCCTTCTCATAGTCAAGATGTCGCTTGACCATGCACGATACATCAACATTCTCAATCACCAGCGATAGAGTTGGCACGTGGATAGGCGCCACGCCACTAGCCGGGAACAATCCATCCGAGAAGAAATGCGCCGATCGACATATATACTTCAGCACAACATCTTTTGGCGAGTACATGTTGACTATCCTTCCGCTGACAACATTCTAAAAGTGTATGAATGATTGATTGATTGAGTTAGCAAGTAAACCTTGGAATCATCCCTGTCAGTCGCGCGAACATACACTTAGATTGGACCATCTCTTGGGATCACAGGGGATTGGCGAGCCGATGAAGACAGCCATCTCGACGTAGGACGTGGCGAATGGATCGCTCGCGGACAACCTGTTCAACTCTTCAAGACAATAAAAAACTAGTCTTGCGCCCATACCAGTGCCAATGAGTGTGAGTGGTCGCTTGCCAAATGTGCCATCGAGTATCTGTTGAGCCAGGATGCGGCCAGCCTTCTCTGAGCGATCCTTTAGCATGGTCCAAGGGTTGTCAAGGACATCAGCCATCTTTAGGATGGACAGCGGGATCAATGCATGTGCCAGACTCTGTGAGATGATGTTGGTTGCTGCCGATTTGATCACAGTGTGCATCAACTTGTTCTGGTACTCGGCAATGATTGATTGTAACTTCAACTTGTTGTCGCGCTCATAGTCAATCAAGAAGATGTCGCCAAAGTCCTCAGTGGCGCGTCGTACCATTCGTTCCCATGTCTCAAGTGGCTGTGACGGTGTTGCTGAGGGGGTGGAGCTGGGCGGCACCGCAAAGCCGTCTATGTATATGATCGCATGAAGAGAGGTCTGTGACTTGACACGATGAATCGCATAGTCCTGGATGCCGGCTGTTGCCGCAATCATCTTGTCGGCGGACACTTTAGCGCCGGCAGCACCAAAGATGACGGACAACATAGTGGCACCGCTCACGCCAGTGAATGATACCAGTCCAGAGACCAATGATCCGGCGCCAATTGCACTGAGCACGGAGCCAACGAATGGGGCAGCCAGTCCACCTGTCAATCCGACGATGACGGCACCAGTGACTGCGGCGCCAGCTATCTTGGCTGCCTTGAGCCCACCGCCTCTCTCGTTTCCAACACTCGCAGGTGTCTGCGCGCCATCAGCTTCGTTGGTGTCCTGCAGAGATCCAATGACCTCCATCTCGATGCGGCAAAAGACAGTGTAGTTGACGCCGAGGAACTCGACAAACAGACGTTTGAGTGACGAGCGTATTGTTGAGAAGTATGATTGAGCGATCAATGATGTCGATATCAACTTGAGCATGAACTCTTCAATCTCATGCTTCTCCTTGCTAATCATCTGTAACAAAGTATCTATTATGGCTGAATGATTGTTCACCTGTTTATACTGCTTGATGTTCTGAAGTTGCATCTTTATCTCTGATGTAACATGTTCCTTTGTGATCATTCCATTTTCCAACGATTGATCATTGAGGCCAGACTCTGTTGTGTTTGTGGCGCCATTGATTGTGGGACTGGTGAACGTACTAGTGTTTGTGCTTGTGCTTGTGCTCGCGGCTGTGTCAAGTTGCTCACCAACACTTGATGAGCTTGTGGAGGAAGAGGAGGAGGCCTTGAGGAGACGATTGAATGTTGCCTTGTCAATGGACAGATGTGAGTGATCGAGTTTCTCAATGAATTGGATGGCCAGGGAGAATGTAGTGACGAACAGCTCGTAACTAGTGTCATGATAGTCGTTGGAGTATAACTCAATGATCATCTTATTCGAGTACAGATTGGGTGGATTCTTCTTGAGCAACAGATAAATGAACATTGGCAACAAGTACTCATCACCATTGATCGATATCAATTGTATCATTGACTTTGACAAGAATCTCTTCTTCTTCAAAGGTGATTGATGTTGAAGTCGATCAATATCTAATGATTGATTGATTGATGGTGTTAGGCTGGGATCATTCCAAGATGGTACTATAAAGATCATTTACATTTAAACGCTTTTGTTAGACTTGCTGTATCAATTGATATACCCAAGTGTGATGGCTCAATGAATGATAGTGATCCAATTCGTTCCTTCAATCGTTGGTCCTCATCAAAGTTGTAAGGGAATATGCTGTTGTTCGGAGTGATGTTAGTCAACGAATGATTGAATGATTGAATGAATGACTACGTACTCTATATATATGCTCTGTATTATTATTGTCTCAACACTTTGATTGAGGACGTGAGTGTAATCATCTGATGCAAGGATGTCATTGAACTTGCTGGGAAGTACAACATTGTGTAGCAACTCTGAATGATAGTTGTTATATGATTGTACACGATCTGATGATGAAGTCAATCTACTGAAATGATTCCTGAATCGAATCAGGTCATCTCTATGCACTTCTGCCAAGTAATCCGCAACATTACTCCATATATTATTGATCTTTGGTAGGTATTGAGATGTCAAGTCTACCACCTCTTGTTGTTGTGGCAACGTCATTGATGGGCTAGATTGACCACGAAGAGTTGGAGAAGACGTAGATGAGGATGAGGATGAGCCATTGCCAACTATATTATCGAATATTAAATAGTTCAATATACATTGTGATAATGACATTGATGTGAATGCTTGTGTGAGGAACTCTGTTATCTCCTTCTTTATCGTTGTCCTATATGGATATAGTTGATGTCTGAATGCATCCACCAACAATATACCAAACAACTCTTTCTTTGTCAATGTCAATGTCAAAGTCTGCTGTTGCTGTTGCTTGTTACTACTGATGAGTTCATTTGTAGTTGTGATACTTTCCATCCTATAATTATATATATATATATGTGTTATGACTATCTTATAATTATTACAACAACAATAACAACATTAAATGATTAACATGTAGCAAAGCAACACCAACAACAACTTGTTGAGACTTTGAAACCCAAGTGATGGAGAATGATCGTTTGAGTCTAACGTCACCACCCCACTATGACCAACATTGAATTTATGGGTCATGTCCAATCAATTTGTAAACAAGTCAACTAACACCTTCATTTACAACACTAAACATGTCAATAGTTATAAATAACAATAATAGTAATAACTATGATGATGGCATGTCCATTAGACAAGTGCTCACCAATCGAATATTGTTCAGGACTATCATATTATCTCTACCTTATTGGTTGTTTAATAATACCAACAAGAAGAAGAGATATATAAAGAAGAAGGAAGGGACAAGTAACCGATGGTATCATTTAGAAGAACCGGATCTAGATATTGGTTATAGAACAAAGTATCATCATTGGACTGATGCAATACAGTTGATACAACATAATCATCTTGCATTACTATGTTATAGAATCAAACATAATGATCATATCAACTTTACACATCAGACTGTGGAGGATATGTACAAAAAAGGTTGTGTACTCGATCCCCAAACATTCAACATCGTCTACAACAAGTATCAACGATACTTTACCTACTCTGACTCCCTCGCAGAGGAGATAGTTGGAGGTCACCTCAGCAATGTACAGACGTTGCTACAACAAACTGTGCCCATGACCTTTAATCGTCGTGACTCTCTCTTGTTGAGCGCCATCAATCCTGGTAACCTCAATGTACTCAAGTATCTCTTGGACTCTGGTCTGTTCAATAATGAATCTCTTTGGAAGAACCAAACTCATGAGGCAATGAAGAAGATAGTCAAGTTACCACCCTCCTCCATCCTTTTCTTGTTGGACACTCGGAACAAATTTCCAACAAAACTGGTCAAGATGATCAGATCGAGAGCACAATCTTATGTCAATGAGATAGTATCTCATGGTAACCAACAACTCATCGATGAGCTCATGATCAAAAAAGGTCTCGAACTGACCAGATAGATAGTGATGCCAGACAGTGGACTTACTGCCACCCAGTATCTTGCACTATGCGAGCGCTGGTTCCCAGCAGACAGATTACTGGACCATCAACAGGCAATGGATAGCTTATCTTTGGCAAAGTATACTGCTCAATCAATGTTGGGATTTGACGCCCCAGCGGTGAATGTAACATCAACGGACATTGGTGATGACCAGCTCTTGGTCTATGTCAAGCTCTTTGGCGTTTCGCTTGGCTGTGAAGACATACGCGATATGGCACTGCGCGAGTACATACTCTCAGGGGACTTCATGCTCATTACCTACCTCCATGATCAGTTGACTGAATACGATGAACAAATTTCCAACTATATTGTAGAACTTGGCAATGTGGCTCAAATGGCCGTCCTCCTTGGATATTTGGACACACGTATCATACCGAGGATACAACCGGATAATCCCAATGTCGTTGATATTCGAAGAGACTACTTTATCGACCTCCACAGATCTCTGTTCAAGGCACCTAACCAACACAATGCACTCGAGGTGATCAAATATTTAAACAACAATAATGTTGTTCAAAAAACATATTCGCCAGTACATATTAATAGAAGCATAGTATTCAATGGATCAATGGACATTCTTGCCTTTCTATTATCCAATGACAACAGAGTATTACCCACGAGTGGTGATTTCGCCGCAGCACTTACGGTACTCGACCCTCAACAATTGGAATATGTATTCAAGATGCATCCATCCTTTTATTCATCCAAAGTACGCATTCTATATACCATGTTCTATGCGTCTTACTATGGCGGACTGGACACTCTCAACATACTCTTGGATCATATTGACGTCCTTGGAACATCATCCATAGAGAGATTGGCCAATGATGGATACCATATTTATATCGTCCGTCTGGTGGAGAGAGCCAATTTTTCACTTGACGATCTGTCTCAACAAATTGGACGACTTGGCGATGTTGAGTTGTTTGAGTATGCACTCAAACACCGTGCACCTGATGAGATGATGGAGATGCAACTTGGGGTGGTACTATACAGTGCTCTCAGGTCAGCTGTAAAGAATCACCAAGTGGCACTGGTCAAACATATATGTTCGAATCACAACAATATTGTTGGTGTGCTGCACAAGTCTCTTCATATGGAGGCAATCAATCATGGAGATTTGGAATTGTTGGACTACCTCTGCGCAGTACACCTCTTGAGAGTGTTGACGATACTTTCGAGGACCCAGAGGAGACTTCCAACAATCTTGTAGAGCGCGCCATCAATCTGGGACACATCGAGATATTGGACTATTTGTTGGCAAAGGTTGATGTCATGCTCAAACACTACATGTTGGTTGGGTTAATCCCATCACTCACCAACAATCTAATCACAAGGTCGGATACATTCATGTTACAACATTTCTTGAACATTGGTGTTAAGTTTGATTTGGAGAGTATCCAGCTCCATGCTCGAGCCTACTACAACTACAACAACAACAACAACATGGGCATGCAATCATTTATTGATCAGTATATATTTAAGAATGATACACAGGGTCAACAAAAGCAAGTGAAGAATAACAAGAGAGTCACAAGGGATAATGAGGAAACTACTCCACAACCAAAGCCAACAAAGAAGAATAGGAAATAAACTTGTAATATATCAGGTGATCTTCATCAATCACGTGACCACAAATCACGTGACATTATTCAATCACGTGACATCACCAAAATTTCCAAACATCGTTATCTCCAAACAGATACAATTCAAAATAGAGATAAAGATAGAGATAAAGATGATATCATCAAGACTGCGAAACTTATTGGACATTGCCAAGAGATTGCCAATACCTCCTAGAGCAGGGGATGGTGGTTTACAGACACAACATGCGCCATGGCCACTGCCACAGCCCAGTCAACAGTTGGTAGATGAATTAAAGAGTGCATTCGAACAGGTTATGATATCAGACCTGTCTATAACAGAGAAGCATTTGCCACTCACTCGAAACAAGCTTGCACATCTCAATCCGGCCAAGTCGCCCTATGGCCTACCCATCTCATACTATCCCTTGCTCGAATGTTCTCGATTCACATTGGCAGTGTTTGCAATGCCTCGCGGTTCAATCATCCCTCTTCATTCACATCCCGAGATGTTAGTACTTAGTAAGATGCTCTATGGTTCAATCAATGTTGACTCTTACGAGAGACTTGATGACCATCTCTCAGATATCCCGACATCGACATCATCAACATCAAAGCAATCAATCATTACCAACTTTAAAGGAAGGATAACGATGACACCAGAGAACACAACATCGTTACTATCACCACGAAGTGTACTTCATAGATTCAGCTCACCAGAGATGCCAAGTGCAGTGCTCGAGTTACTGTTTCCTCCATATGGACAACCTGGTTCATCACGCTATTGTACATACTACAAAGAGGTATCTGGAGGACTTCCCGACCAACCCATAACAACCCTATCACCAATCAATGTCGACGATGACTTCTCCTGCTTCTACGAGCAAGACATACAACCACTACAAGATCTCCATCAATACCTAACACAACAATACTCTAGTTAGTTAGTTAGTATTGTAATACATTAAATGTATGTTTATATATAAGATATAAGTAAAGAAGTAATAATCAAACAACACAAATCAATGAATGTCATTGTGTAGACCCTTACCCTACCCTCGCGCACCTTGACTTCGCAGCCCAACAGTTCACCCGCCACACCCTTTAAAAGTAATCGGTGTTGCCACCCCAACAACCACACCTCCCCAACAACACACAACAATAATATTACAAACACACACAACAACGATTTCTTTGCAAAAAAACAAACCATTTTCCATCCACCCATCCATCATCCACTCCCTTTTCATTCATGAATGAGACCCAATAGAAAGAATGAGATCTAATCATTCGATAACTATTAATTACTTAAATATATCAATCTCTACAAATATATATTTATATTTAGAGGAGGAGACATTGTCTTTCAAATTATACGACAAGACTTTATTATTGGTCAAGTCGTAACGAGGACTTTGTTCAATCTACATTACATTCACCAACATCGAACAAACTCAACAACACAATCAAACAACAAACTAACAAACAAACAACAAACAAACAATATATATTTATACATTGGATATAGTGCCACACAACATCCTGGACCCTGATACTTATACAAGATGACAACAATTATAAGAATACTCAAGACTGTGTGGCGATGGAGCCAGTTGACATTGGCACTGTTAATCATTGTGTTGGAAAGTGTCATTAGATTTGGAATGAGCGTATTTACAAGTTTCATTCCATTCTCTTCACATATTGAATTGCCAAAGTCCCTAAAGGGACATAGCCCTGCATCATACTCTGAGTCCCAGAAGGACCTCGAGCGTGATGCAATCGAATTGATCACCAGTCGTGGATACCCGGTCGAGGAGCACTTTGTCACCACTAAGGATGGTTTCGTGTTGGGACTGCATCGCATCACTGGTCCACGCGCATTCACCTCGCCTCTCAACTCGGCGCCGGCTTCGCCACGCGATCTTGGCATCCGCGGCAGTCACGCCAGCTTGTTTGGCAACAGCAGCAACAATAGCAACAGTGCCATGGTCAAACCCGCCGTGCTACTCATGCACGGCTTCATGATGTCATCCGAGGTGTGGCTGACGCGTACCAACCCCAATGACAGCCTGCCATTCATTCTTGCCGATGCAGGATACGATGTTTGGCTTGGAAACAATCGTGGCAACAAGTACTCGTTCAAGCACACCACCTACACACCAGACCAAGAACAGTTCTGGAACTGGTCCATTGATGAACTGGCAAAGTTTGACATGCCCAGCATGGTGGACTTTATCACCGACAGGACTGGACACAAGACAATCACCTACATTGCATTCTCTCAAGGTACAGCACAAGGTTGGGCTGGTCTAAGCTCCAACGCTGCACTCGCCAGGAAGTATGTAGTCCCATTCATTCATTCAATCAAATGTCAAATGATCATATGCTAACAATCTCATCAATCAAAGGGTCGACTTGTTCATTGCATTGGCACCTGTCAGTACATGTCTTGGCTTTAGTAATCCAATGGTGGACTCATTGGCAAGGAGTAGACCAGACTTTATCTTTTTGCTCTTTGGCAAGAAGTCAATACTTCCATCGATCATATTCTGGAGGAATATATTGCCTCGCGACATCTATGTCAAGTTGATCGATGGCTCTGTCTCTTTCCTCTTCAACTGGACCACCGCCTGCCTGTCCAAGGAAGAGAAGCCAATGCTCTACTCTCACATCTTCTCCTACACCAGTGTCAAGACCGTAGTGCATTGGTTCCAAATCATCCAGACCAATCGCTTCCAGATGTTTGATGACATCCTCCTGGGTGTCACGCCAACCGAGAGTTCCGATCAACCTCATAGATATCATGGTCGAGTGATACCTGGTTACCATCCAGGACAGATACAGACAAAGTTTGCAATGTTCTATGGAGGCTCAGACACACTGCCCAACACCAAACTGCTTCTTGAACATCTGCCCAAGGACAAATCAGTTATGGTCCATGAAGTACCAGAGTATGAGCATCTCGATCTCATCTGGGCCAAAGACGCACATCACAAGGTCTTCTCCAAGATTGTCAAGTTACTCAACTCTCACAACAAGACCATTCTCTCAGAGTCAGACTCGTCCGATGAATAAACCATGCTGGTCATCCGCAGCGGTGGATGTTTGTTATAATGATTGATAGATCTATTGAATGTACATTGACTTGTACAAGTTATACGCATCTCTCCCATCTTAAACCTTGGTGGGATCACTGTACATCTTCTCGTTGTAACGAGCACCTGTCACAGGGATGGTTGCAAGTATCTGGCTGATGCTCTTTTGCTCCTCGGGAGTAAGCTGGATCTGAGCACTGTGCAAGTTCTCCTCGAGACGGCCGATCTTGGTAGTGCCTGGGATGGGGATGAATGATGTACTTCCGCCACGGGTCAGGATCCATGCCAGAATCAACTGGGATGCTGGAACACCCTTGGCCTTGGCAATCTTGTCAAAGGCGGTGACCAACTCATAGTTCTTCTTGAAGTTCTCGCCCTGGAAACGAGGTACAGTTCTTCTGTAGTCGGTTGGGGCAAAGTCATCTGGAGACTTGATCTCACCAGTGAGGAATCCACGTCCGAGTGGAGAGTAACAGACAACGGCAATGTCCAACTCCTTGCATGTTTCGAGTACTCCATCAGACTCAATGTCCAGGGTCCATGGTGAGTACTCAACTTGGATAGCAGTGATTGGATGAACCTTGTGTGCTCTCCTGATCCAATCAGCTGGGCAGTTGCTCAGTCCAAGGAAACGAACCTTGCCAGCATCGACCAATGACTTCATTGCCTTGACAGTCTCTTCAATTGGGCTGTTGATAGTTCAGTTAGTGAGTGATTGATTGAATTATAGATGTTGATGGATACATACGTTGTTTGATCTGGGATATGTTGGTAGTAGAGATCAATCTGGCTGACACCAAGACGCTTCAAACTTCTGTCACAAGCCTCAAGGACATACTCTGGTTTTCCACTGATGCCAACACTTCCATCAGCCTTGACTGAAGCAGCAAACTTTGTGCATAGGAATACCTCACTTCTTCTGGTTGCCAACACCTTGCTCAACAACTCTTCATTGGCTCCATAGACATCCTAAAGAATTCATAAATGAATGAATGAGTTTTAACTCCATCGGAATTGAAGTGTAAGGTGTTATATATACATACAGCAGTATCCCAGAAGTTACAACCGAGGTCAAGAGCTCTGTTTAGAACCTTGAGACTGTTCTCATCGTCATGCTTATCACCGTAAAAGGCAGACATGCCCATGCATCCCAATCCAATTGATGAGACCATGACATTGGAGTTACCCAAACGTACTTTTGGTACTTGAGTTGGTTGTGCCATTATAAATATCTAGAGTAAGTAAGCTTAGTAAGTATGTATTATATTATATTTGTTTGATTATTGATATGTTTGTTTGATAATGATGTGCATTCTGAACATTACTTTAAATAGTTTATGTTTAAATTGAATGAGTGAGCAAATGGGGACACGCCCCATTAATCCTGAATCCACCAATGATTGATAAATATCCTAATTAATTTAATATGATACTCATCATGATGGTCATGATCCAAGGTCCATGCCCTTAACCCTCAATTTAGGATATGCGAACCATACCAGGGGGTGTCAATGCAAGGGTCATTGATCTTAGTTTCAATTATTTGATTGATGACGACGTTCCATGGAACTGGCAAAGAACCATCGTGCAAAATTTCGCACCTGCAAGATCTTTTGCTTTGAGACTGTAAGATTGCTCCACACGTGCATTATGTGTTGACGAGTCATGTCATTGTTCGTTCCATGATGATGTAATAGGAACAAAGAGTCAATAATGACTCATTCAAAGTAATAACAATGACATCGTCATCATCATCTTTACATCTTTACATCTTTCGTTCATTGTATCCTTGACCAACTTTGTGTTTGGCTGATCTGATAGTACTATTCTTTGATCAAGAGAGCGCATATTGGTCATCTTCAAGTAGGTTCTTTCTGAACTCGAAGCCTCGAGGCAATGGTTGCGATGGTATGTTATCTGATCTTGGAACAGAGAGTACCAACAATATAATATATATTAGAGATACTTTGGATTGAGGACAAAGTATGAGTGTTGGATATTGTATTGATAGTAGTGTTTCTTGAAGGTTAGACCAAGTTTCTTTAGGATGGCAATGGATGGACCGTTGTTTGTTCTCGATGTACCAACAATGTCTTCAAACTTGGGATCATCCTTTACTTTGTCAAGACATGCTTGAGCCGCTTCGTATACAATTCCTCGACCACGATATCCATCCAACATCAGATAGCCAATGTTTATCTCGCTCTCACGCTCCATCCATGGACGCTTTACAAATGCTGTTGTACCAATTGGCTTCATAGTCTCTTTGAGTACAATCTTGCATACTCCATATCCATTGTTCTTATAGCTCTCCATTACATTGTTTAGTAGGTAGTTACGACAAGCATCCAATGTCTCAAGACCTCTACTGCCTACCAACTCCACAACCAATGGATCATTGAACAATGATTGAATGAAAGGTGCATCATCCTCATTCATATAACATATCAATGTTCTATCCGACTCTGCGAATACCTTCAACTCCTCTGTCATTGTTGTGTTATTACTGATTATATATTTGTTAACAAGTTGATGGGTTGGAAGGAATGAATGATTGGATGGATGGAGGGGTTGAAGTGATGAAGGGTGTGATTGTCGTCTTCAGCGCCATATATGGTATCAGGATGTTAGGTATCAAGCAAATGCTAACATTTTGAAGTTGACTCCATAATTGTAATGAATGAATGAATGGACTAACATCACCATTGAATCGTAAATTATAATACTGATCAACATTATGTATTATTATGTCGTTGTTGGTCAATTTGAACGAGAGGTAGGGTACGCTTGAGAGTAAAAGGTAAAGTGAATGATATGGATGTAAAGGTTAGGTCGACCAGTCTACTGCTGGGCCTCAGTGGTGGCAGTGGAGGTGCTGGCGACGGCACCACCAGTGTAAGATTGCATTTGGTTGTTGTAGAGACGCATCAGATTTCTCTCGAGCATGGCAATGGTAACCTTTCCGATGGCTGGCACCATGATGCACTTGCTGTCGACCGACTCGTCGACGTTGAGACATCCGGCAAAGTTGATGACGACGGTACCGTCACGGATCAGAGCGCTATCCACCTTGTACTTGGGTGATGGCACACCAAGAATCAATATATCGCTCTTCTGGATGGCCTCCTCCTTGGACACGGTTGTCTCTGACATCTTGATTGTTCCCTGTCGCTTGCCAGCCTGGAAACAAATAACACCATTAAGATCGATAGAATATCTGTTTGGGAGGGAGGGCAGGAGGGTGTTAGTTGTCTTGCATGCTGTAACGCCATTCAATCTCTTTATACATACACAAAAGCACCGTCGTTGGCAAGCATAGCAGCCAATGGTCTGCCTACAATCTCACTACGGTTTACAACGGTAACAACCTTTCCCTTGAGATGCTCGCCAAAGGGCAACGACTTGTCGTAGATGCCAAGATGATCGATGATCTTGACCATGGCCAGAGGAGTGCAAGGCAGGACACACTTCTTGGTCTTCTTCTCGTCCAGGAAACGGATGTTGTGATAGAGGTTGAATCTGTTGGTGGTGGACATGCCCTCGACGTCCTTGTCGGGACGGACGACATCCTGCAGGTAGGCATCGAGCATGCCTCCAAACACTGGATAGTAGACCATGATACCGTGCACAGAGTCGTCGTTGTTGGCGTCGATGATGGCGTCCTCGAGGTCAACTCTCTCGATCTTCTTCAGGATGAACTCGATACCGTCCTTGTTACAGGCGATCTTTGTCCACTTGGCATAGTCGATGGCGCCCTGGTCGTCAGTGGTCAAGTAGGCAACGATTCTTGGCTTTGGCATATTGGCCGGCACGGACTCCTTGACCTCATTTCTGAACAATGTAGCGATTGGTGTAACGTCGATCTTTCCCTTCTTGGCTGAAACAATGCTGTTGATCTCCTCCATTATATATGTGTGTGTGTTTGTATGTATATGTATATGTGTATTTGTATGTGTTGGTATTCGTGATTAGTGACATGAATGACCAGAACGAGTCATCGTTTTGTTTAGTGGTTGGTGGGTGGGCACTCCGACCAAGTCTAGGCATACACAATGACAATGTCATTACACACATGAGCCCCGATGATAGTTCATAAAAGCGAGAGAGGGCTATTTAATAAAACGAACGAGTCGGCAATTTGATGAATGGCGAAATTGATCGGCCCCATTCATAGTGCATAACATGTGATCACTCATCGGCATCAATACCATCCCATGGGTTTGGTTGGGGTTAAGGGTGGGGAGTCGTCATGACACGACGACCCTACGTCAACATATCTATGTATATATATATAAATATATCTTTATCTCTTCATTCTATCTCTATCCATCATGTAAACTACACATGTTAGATATCTAACTAGTTAACTAGGAACAACTTGAATATCTGATTATGAAATCTAGAATGGAACTGGTAGGTGGTTATTGGGTGACATTCGAAAAGACCTGTCACCTTGTGCCAATGTCTATACTTAGGTTAGAAGTACCTTACATCTTGTCTTGGACTCTCAAGTTTATAAATAAACTCGAGAGTATCATCAAAAGCCACCGATGCTCAAAGGTCACTCACGATCATTCATTCATTCAGAACAACCCAACCCAATAATCGATCTCCTTCCTTTCTCTACTACTTCCTCAGTCCTACTCCTCTGTTTAATAATAACAACGACAACAATAACAATAACATTGAGAAAATAAGATAATACAACTTTTAGGGTATGTACAAAAGTAGCCTCCATCAATCCCGCTTCGTTTCATTGGATGCCCCCAAATATGTGCCATCACCAACAACAAGCACATTGTACATTGTACAACTACAATCGCATTCTTTACATGTACATACACAATTCACAATGTGTCATTGATGATCAACTTCCATCGCCATCCATTCTTCAACATGATGTGTGTGAGTAGTATTAGTGGTTGTTTGATTGATTGATTAATGTGGGCTTTATCACCACACATCTACAAAAGTCCCAAAAGACGATCAAACAAAAGATATTTGTTGGTTTATAAATAATTATTGTCTTGTGATGGTGATGTGTGAATAGCGTGTCGATTCGCTTCACTTTAATTTAGAAGTTCTTTCCAAATGGAGGACAACAACACAACCAAATACTTATTGGTGTTTATAAGTGCCCACCTTTATATAACCTGGTATAAACACCAATCGCCATCAATTGTGATTGAGAAGTGAGCTCACTTCTACTTTGGTCCAACCTCTTTCTTTCTCTAAATTTAATCAGTCCATTGTTGACTGGTCTGACTTTTAAATCTTAGAACAAGGTTCCATCACACACTCCGTCTCAAGGATTCGATTCTACTCCTTCCTTGATTAATATCTATATCCAAAAGTATACTTATACATATATACATTTGTTATTTATATAACAATCAAACATGTATGTATCATTCATTCCAAATGTACATCCATCCACATCCATCCGTCCATCCATCCATTCGGGACAAACACATAACAAACTGAAGAATAAGAATGTGGAACTCATTTCCATCACAAGATGTAATGACACTCCACAATTCGTTGGACAGTCACCGAGTGCCACCCTTTACGGAGGATCCAAATATCAGCCAATCTGGCCTCACAAACATATAATCAGTCAAGAGTGATTATGGTGCTCATCCACCATCATCACCATCGTCCTTGTAGTTATTCGCTATGATTGAAGACTAGACTCGCCATTCCTTATTCGAATGATCACAATGTCGACTAATCTAAGGTGTGTTTGTGTTTCATTCATTCATTCACTAAGTGTGTATGTGTGGGGCAACTTGTGAACGGTATGAATGTACGTTCTATTTCAATAACCCCCATGACAGCAAGCCTTCGACACCAAGCCCAAACAGGGCCTGTCAACTGGAGGCGTGCCTGGGGGCTTACCCATCAAACACGATTTTATTTTTGGACTCTCGCATCGCGAAGGTGCACCTTGGACAATTGATGGAGAATAGTATTCCGTGTGCACCATCACTGCGCCAACTGCCGCCCCTCCATCCACACAATTGATATCACATCTTGTTAGTAGTTCCCCCCCTTTGCCCATGATCTACATTACATTCATTCTAGCTTGTGTGGCCATAGCCAAACAATAATAATTATAATTATACTAAACAAACAAGATAGTTGTGTGTGTTTAAGTGAGAGACAGATAGAGATACCATCACTTTGTTGTAAGTTTAGATCGATCCATCACCTGTTCACTCCTAAACAACAACAACAAGTTAAACCAAACAAGAATCCAAATTTATTGTTTAAGCATTAAGATATAAATATATTAATATTTATGTTATCTTGTCTTGTTGTATTGTTATAAAAATAGATTAGAATACAGCTACCCAACTTCTTCTTTACTTTAAAGTAAATTCAATATCCAATTTAGCTTATGACAGATCACACATCATCGCTCATCACTCATCACACATCACACATCATCAATCAATCATTCATTCTTCATACCACTCACTCATTCACCTTCTATTTATAAACAATGATCACCCCCAACGAGATTTAAAAGGACCTGTTCACTCACTGATCAATCACACACACACACTCACACCACGATTGGTTGATCAATCACTTATCGATACTGCCAATAACATCAACCCATCATCCATCTACTACTTAATTAAAACTCTGAAATACCTCATATTTGGAGGATGGAGGAGATTCCAACACACTTGGATAATAATATAATGCCATCATTTCATATCACATCTTCTATTACCTCTAATCATTCAATTAAATTGAATTAACAAAGTATATTCATTCCAACAACCAACCAACCAACCAACTAGCAAAAGAGAAATTAAAGCAAGATAATTCCATTCCAACTTTCCAAGTCCAAAGTTCCATCCAAGTCCCAAAAACACAATTCCTGTTGTTGTGGCTACCAACATTCATTCATACATCCAGAAGAAGACAGAATAATGGGAAGGAAGAAGATTAAGATTCAAAAGATATCAGACGAGAGGAACCGCCAGGTGACTTTCACCAAGAGGAAGAATGGATTGATCAAGAAGGCCATGGAGTTGGCACTGCTGTGCGACTCATCCGTCACCCTACTCATTGTAAATAACTCACCAAACGCCAAGGAGAAGTACTTCCAGTACGTTAGTTCGGACCTGGATGCTCCCCTGGCAAACATTCCCGACCTTGGACCAGAGATATCCCATTTCTATCAGAATGATGATGTAAGTGAAGCCCTATGTGCACTTTGGGTAGCCATACAACAACACTTACTAACATTACAATAATAACTTCAACGACAATGTAGTACGACAAATCATTTACAAAGAAAGATAACCTTTTAAATGGGGCGACAGACTTTAATGATGATCATCATGATTCACCTGCTGAGCATTCATCACCTTCAATGTCACCGAGTGATCATCATCACAATCACTCCAAGGTGTCATCCACAACTTCCAGCAAGAGTTCCAACAATCATCATCACCCATATCAAAGGACACTATCAAAATCCAACCTTGCCAAGTCTAGCAATCCAATAACCAACACAGACACACCAACATCACCAAAGTCACAAAGATATCAACAAGTTCCACAACAGCAGCAGGCAGTCACCTTTGACTCTGCCCAAGCATTACTATCACTTACCAATCCAGCCAATATTAGTAGTGGCAGTCTCAATGCTAGCACACCAAAATCAAATGACCTCTCGCCAACATCATCCATATCCACTTCACCAACTTCTTCGCCACGCCTCCAAACAATGTCTGACACATCATCGACGATGTCGCCAGCACTTCCAACACCGTCATCTATCTTTGGAAATGGAGGCAGTAGCAGCAGCAACAGTAGTAGTAACAACAGCAGTCCGATATTTCTATCAAGCAACAACCTGATGCCAAACTACACGTCCTCTTCCTCCTCGCCAGTCAAATCAAAGTTACACTCCTCCGAGCCCCTGTCCAACATTCTAAATCATCATCATCACATTATGTTGAACAACAACATTAGTAATAGTAGTAATAGTATTAGCAGCAGTAGTAGTAGTCGGGATCATTCCTTTGCCCACAACAACTCCAACAATCAAATCAACAACCACCATAACAACAACTTATTTAACATTAGGAGCAATTCTCTTACTCTGCCCTCTTTGGCAGACACGTTGTCATCATACTTTCCGCATCAGTAAACTCTGTCTGCTAGATAGATATATCGAATATAAGTTTAAAGGGTCTGGGGCCAGTCCAATTCCTGGGCTCAATCACACCATTTTAAGCTTGGTTTGTCAACTTTTTTAAGTCTTGTGTGGTGGGGTGATTGGGTGAGGAGTGTGAGGTGGGTGATGAGTTGATTGGTTTTGCCGTCAAAGAATGTCGAACGAGTGTGGAAGATCTACCTCTTTCATTGCTGATCTGCAAGTTGGTGGTCCTCGCATCATTATTACATGTCCACTCATTGTACATAAGTCCTCCATTCAATTATCTACATTGACATAAATAATACAATGATACCAAATAGACTGGCGAGAATAGGTAACTACATTCAATCACTCAATCAATCAATCACTCAATCATTCTCAATCAATGATTACTAACATACTTTATAACTTTAGCCAGAAGGAGTACACTTTGGTCTTCATCACCATTATCAACAACAGGTGTCTATCCATCATCATATTTACAGGTGCACGCATTTTCTTCGATATCATATCAACAGCAACACCAACAACAGAATCAACAAAGTCAGCAGCAACAACAAAGACAATCTACATCAAATGTACGCAGCCTACTATATGCATTCTCCCTTGGTTCATTATTTGGCTGGAAGTACAGCCATGACGAACAATTGGAAGCGCTGCCAGAGCGTAGGAAGAACAAACAACCAATAGTAGACTTTGACGGCGCGTTGGAATGGTACCAGACCTATTACATATTGCCAGATCAAGACAACTTTGTCCAAGCCATCGCCCTCCTCATTGGCAAGGAGTCACACAACTATCTAAAGCAACAACTTACAGCACCATCATCGTCCAAGTCGGGTGGCGACAACCACAATGTCAGGATACAGACCATTCAATCATTCTACTACTTCCCAATGGTTGGCTTCATGGCCGAGATGTTCAGACAGAATCCCACAAAGGTCAAGACATGGTACGATGCACTGATGAGCCGAGAGGACATTACTACCCCTTGGCGTGCGTCGTCTCTTGGCAGTCTCGACCCCTCCATGTTGCTGGCACTCGCCGTCAGTATGGCCGGGTCACAGGAGTGTCTTCAGATACAAGAGGCCTACGTAAGAAACACACTGGGCAAGGGTGCCAGCGACGAGCGAGTCAAGCAAGGTGTGGATTCATTGCGCAGGTGGTCAGAGATGCAGAGTGATCAACTACCCACCTACCCTCTGATAAGGATTGGCGAGTACTTTTGCACGGGCAAGGAGAGCATCATCGAGGACATTGCAAGCACATGGAGAACATCACTACAACATACAAATGACAACAACCAACAGCAACAGAATAGAGATATGATCATTAATGAACTCAACCATGCGATTAAGCTATTGGCCAAGGATGCCAAGGCAACCAAGATACTACAAGATGAACTGACCTATCATTTGACGATCCAGAAGTCATCCACTTCATCGCTGTCGTCAACGGCATCAACACAATCAAATATTAAATCACCTCAGCTACTGGCGGTTGCAACGACAACTACTCCAACAGGTGGCTAAACACCATGATGTTGTTGTGGAGGTGGTCAATGTTGTAGCCGCCTGTACTGCTCACCAGTTGGGTGCTATTGCCCAATTGTATTAATACTATATGACACTTTATTTTGAAAAGCAGACACAGGAGTGCAGATAAGTCTAGCCAACTCTGCGCGCAACACACACAATCACACCGAACTCACCTTTCTGCTTTTCAAAATAAAGTGTCATATGTTCAACAAGACTGATCCTGATTGATCTGATTGGATTGATTGATTCCAAGCCTTTTGTTATGGCTAGGTGAGAAACTTGTTTAATTATTTATTGCTGCAACATATCCTTCTTTAGCTTGGCCTTGTAGGAAGAGATGTCTCCTTTCCATGGAGCGATGGTCTTGTTGTCGCAAACCCAGATCTGGTCGGCAACCTGGGAGATCAGTCTGAAATCGTGACTGACTAGAACCATTCCACCGGGGAAGTCGTTGATGGCCTCGGCCAAAGCGTCAATACACTCCATATCCAAATGGTTAGTGGGCTCGTCCAGCAGTAGCATGTGTGGGTTCTCCAGCGCCATCAGACAGAAGATCAGACGACTCTTGACTCCGTCACTCATGCAGCCAATGGCCTCTGTTTGCGACTTGCCAGTGACACCGAAACGGCCAATCTCACGACGCCACTCCTCAGTGTCCTTCTCGAATTGTGGGAACTTCATCTTGACAAAGTCCAGCGGGGTCATGGTCAGGTCGAGGGCCTCGGCAGCGTGCTGATGGTAACGGGCAATCTTCAAATGACCGTGCTTGCGAATCTCTCCTTTGGTGGGCTGGATCTGTTGGCAGATCAGCTTGAGCAGTGTGGACTTGCCAACACCGTTTGGTCCGACAAGGGCAACTCTCGAGTCCAGATCGATGGACAGGTCCAAGTCACGATACAAAACGTCGGCCTCCTTTCCAGAGTAGGAGAAAGTGACTTCGTTGAACTGGATAATGGGTGGGGCAAGCTCTGGGCATTGTGGGAATCTAAAGTTGAACTTCTTGTCCTCAACTACCTTCTCTACCAATCCAGCTTCCTCCATCTTGTCAATGATCTTTTGCTTGCTCTTACCCTAAAGTAGTTGAAGTGATTGATTGATTGAGTAAGTATATGATTGAATTGTTGTTGATTGAATAGGATGGACTTTGTACTTACTTGTCTAACAAGGTTAGAGTAGGTACCACAAGAGGCAATGAAAGACTTGATATGTGCAATCTCCTCTTGTTGCTTGTGATAGGCCTTCATTTGGTTGACCTCGAGCTCGGCCTTGGTCTTGACAAAGGTGTCGTAGTTGCCACCATAGTAGGTGAGGATGGACGATCTCATGTGAATGATGTTGGTGCAAACGCTGTTCAAGAAGTCTTGAGAGTGTGAAATGACAATGAGCGATCTGTCGTATCTGCTCAGGTAGTCCTCGAGCCACACACAGGCTCCGAGGTCCAAATGGTTGGTTGGCTCGTCGAGCAACAACAGAGTTGGCTTGATGAAGAGTGCCTTGGCGAGGGAGACTCTCATTCTCCAACCTCCAGACAAGTCCTTGGTCTTCTTGAGCATGGTCTGGGAAGTGAAACCGAGACCGATGAGGATCTCAGAGGCACGGGCAACAAAGGTGCTTGGGTCGAGTCTCTCCATTCTCTCGTAGATGTCCATCAGTTCCTCACTCTCTGGACCCTCCTCAACGAGCAGACGCTCCTCCTCAGCCTCGAGTCTCTTGACCTCCTTCTCAACGTCGTCAATGACCGACTCGAGAGCAGTGCGCTCAGAGGGGTAGGCCTCCTCGGACAAATGGAAGATATCTATATGTTTGGGGATTGGCAGCTCACGGATGGCCAGGCACTGCAGGAATGTAGACTTTCCACAACCATTAGATCCTAGCAGTCCGTAACGACGACCAAAGTTAATCTCCACAGTAGTGTCACTTAGAAGCTCCTTTCCGTGGAATGTGAGTGTAACTTGTTCAATTTTGATCTATGGTAATGGTAGTAGTAGTAGGTTGTAGTAGTAGTTGTAGGTGTAAAGATAAAGAGATAAAGATAGAGATGGAGATATTGTATGAGTATGATTGAAGAACATTGAGTGATTGATTGATTGATTAGACTTACATCTCTTGAAGACTCCTTGGTAGTGAGAACACCAGTAGCAGTGAACTGATTGATTCTCATCTTCTCAAACTTTGATGCGACGTTCTCGTCATCAGAGGGAGGTGGAGAATCATCTTGTCTCTTGTTCTTCTTGTTATTTGATTTCTTTCCCATTGTATGTTATTATAAGTTATAGGTGATACAATAAATATTATTTGTATATGTGAGTGAGTGGTTGGTTGGTAGTGATAGTGAATGAATATACTTGAAAGAGTGTTGTTGTTGTTCGTTTGGGGCGACGACTCTTTGCGTTTGCTCATAATACACATCTTCAAAAAACACCTTTTTCGAAATAATTAATTATTATTAAATAAATTAAATCAAAAACGTGTTCATGAGAAACCGAATCAAGACTGGAGTCAGTTCAGTTCCAACAATAGGAACAAGTGGCATCAAGGTGTGTGTTGTGTGTTTGTTGGTGTGTTCGTTTGTACCAACTGACACAGGATAGATTAACCAAGAAGTGTAAGTGTGAGAGATTGAGAGAAGATAGATCTTCACATTGTTTCCAATCTATTCTAGATGAACATGAACTGATCTACTTGAGTTAGTTATATTTTCCAGGTCCTGGCACCTCCATATGCGTTGGTCGCACTCAATCAAAACTCTTTATTCTTACAAAAGTCCATGTATAATATATGTATACTTAATAGTAAAAAACAATTACTAAATAGTGCATCTTATGTAATATTCTTGTTTGACAACTCTATCTTGAGGTCATTGTTGAATAGACAGAATGCTGACTGGAGTTGGGGCGATATCAAGGCAGACGAGAGCCTACTATAGGTAGGCGACGCCTTGTGCTCGTCAAGTACCTTCACAGTTCCAATACACTTGGCGACGCTGCTTATCCTGTTGATGGTAGTTGACGAGGGGGCCCTCCATTCTTTAAAGGAGAAAAGGATTTTGAGTGATGCAGGGATCGAACCTGCGACCTATTGGTTCGTAGCCAATCGCACTTCCACTGTGCTAAACACCCTTCTTATTGGACAAGATTCTTTGTCCATATTTGAGCTGATTTCGCTGCTCGATTTTTGTGCTTTATATAAAAACTAAAATGATTTTGGACTTCCACTGTGCTAAACACCATTCTGATGAGCCCTAGTTCGTTTACAAGATCGAATTTACTATCATAATCACTCAATCAGCTGTTCCTATACTATATCGATCTTGTTCCTCAACAACATTATGTGCATTTTTTCCGTTCCCCTACCAGGTGGTCGACCCGATATTATGAGGTAAAGATCAATATCATCGAGCGTATCGATCCCCGATGGAGTAACTCTCTCAAAAACAATATCATCTCTTCACTTCGCATTCTTGATCACTAGTGAATAAAACCAGTATCATCTTTATGGATGAATTACAACCACACACACAATAAATAAATAAATAATTGTAATCCTCTTCAATATTGTGTTTATTCATTCTACATTTTATTGTATTGATAGGCACTTGTGATTCCCTCTTCGGTAATTTCAAACTATATTTATACTTGTTAAATTTAAATTGTAATTTGATTCCCCACCCACACATATTATTATCCCACCATCATCCAGATGATTGTTAATCTATCAACGTATAAATATATTTTTGTAAACTACTCATTGGCAAGATAATAAATTAAATATATATACAATAATAATGGAGCCATTTTCAATCAATCAATATTCCAATTATATATATAATAGTAAACTAAAAATAATAATAATAATAATTATTTTTTATTAATAAACAATGAATTCCAAATTATTAATAATATTATTATTTACTTTATTATTTATTATATACAATTGTAATGCTCAGCATTACCCCGAGTACGTATTTATTAAATCTTTCTCTTTTACAAAGTTCTTCAATTGATTAATATTATTTTTTAATCTTAGGTCCAAATATCCATCTTCTTCATATCCATCTTCTTCATATCAATCTTCTTCAAATCTAGAAATTTCAAATCAAGATTCGTTTCCCAGTTCTTCTAATCCATCAGATTCTACCTAACCTCATTTTCATTATTAAAAACTCCCTTTTTGTTTTTTCTCACCAAAGGATTTCGGGCAATCTGACAAGTAATTGATCTTGTCATAACACTCTGTAATGAGTGCTTTGAATACCTTGGGTGATTCAATCAATCTGTTGAAGGCTCTGTCGAAAGTCTATCAATATGGCTTTCATTGTTGTTGTTGCAACACCTTTCTGAAATACACAAATTGATAGATATAGTGATTCATTCCGGTGTCTATTTTTTTTTTTTTTTTTTGACTAGAGTGGAAGTTTATTATTATTGCAAATAAATTGGCGTCATTGAAGAGGCGGGATAATATATATAAGTTAGTCGATTTTGAATTTTCTTGATTTTTTTCTTTCTTTTCTTTTCTACTGTAGGCCTCTGAATTCCGCCACCAAGTATTTGTTGATAGTTGGCGGCAGAGGCGGAAGACGGATGTCGCTGTTGCGAGTGCTGAAGTGCCACTAGGTAGTGAACTCGGCCATCTCATTCTTGATGTTGACTGGTCGTCCGGCCAGGATGTGACTCGTTAGCGTGGACATGAGGGAGCGCCACTCCTGGCGGAGGAGGGACTTGAAGGATGTGATGCACACCAAGCTGAGCTTGGCCAACAGGGCCTCCTTGTTGCCAAAGAGGTGGTTGGCGATGTAGTGCCAGAGGTAGTTGACGATGATTGCCATGAGGTGGATGAATGGAAGGTTGGGGCGACGAGACTTCGCGGAGATGTCCAGTGCTTTGATGTTCCATTCTCTGACATTGATACCAGAGCGTTGCTTCACCAAGTCTAAGGCTGGGCGCATGGCTTCTTGGGTTTCCACTTTGCTGCAGTCAAAGAAGAAGTGATTGTAGGGTTGGTCTGTGCAGGAGTTGCCACAGAGGGTACAGTCAGCGTCTGCTCTCATATGATTGATTGGGAGAGTATGGGAGAATCTGAAGAGGGCGTTACGTGAGGATGGTCCTCTCAGGGTGCTGATGACCTTGAAGATGTCTGGGAGCTTGAGGCCGTGGAAGACACTGAGCTGCCATTGACCCTCTGTCAGTCTGATTGAGCCATACTTTGCCTTCCAGAGGATGGCATAGATGTCTTTCAGACTGAGGGTGACACCATTGCTATCCAAGAGAGGTACCTTGTCGCTATGGCTGGAGAGGTGGGCGGAGCGGAACTCCATCCAAGGTGTGTGGAACTTGCGGAAGAGGCCAGTGAACTTGCCTCCCAGGCGCTTCCTGGCGTTGCGGTGTTGAGTTCTCCACGAGTCCAGGTAGCCATGGGTGAGATTGGCTGGGGTGTTGAGGAAACGATTGAACACCCATACCTTGTAGGCATTTGATCTGAGGCCAATGTCCCAGAGGTTGAGGCCACTTTGATCCCAATGGAAGCTGGCGCGGTCCAGTGCCATCGTGTTGATGAAGCTGGAGCCGTAGGCGGTGGTCTTGGGGGCTGAGATGAACCATTTGGTGAGGTTTTCGATCTTCTTGATCTGCCACTTGGTCGGTGAGTCCAGATAGAAGTGGTACATCAGCGGAGGGAGGGCGTAAGACTTGAGAGCTGCAACCTTGGACCGCAGTGTGGTGCTTTCAGACTTGAAGAGCGAGAGTCTGCCGCGGAGGGAGCTGATGAGAGTCTTGAACTTGGAGTAGATGCCCTGCTTGGTGAAGTTGACGCCCAAGTACCTTTCAGGTTCGGTGGCCACTGGGTAGGGGAGCTCAGACGTTGGTGCATCGCCCAGGACAATGTGTACAGACTTGTCGACATTGATGGCTGGCGAGGTGGCATTGCAGAAGACCTTGAACCATTCAATCACTCTCAAGAGTTCCTCGAGTGACCTGGTGAGCGCTGCAGTGTCATCGGCAAACTGGAGAAGCTTGACCTTCTTGCGGACGGTCGAGACTTTCTTGCCGTCGACTAAAGTGTCGAGGGGCGGTGACACCGGCAGGCCCACGATGGATGGGTCGGCGTTGATTGCTGCTGCCAGTGCCTCGATGACCAGGACAAAGAGCGTCGGGGAGAGAGGGTCACCTTGCTTGGTGCCTCTGTCCAGGGGCAGGGCATCAGTGAGGATGCCGTTGACGCTGACTCTGGCCACGGATCCCCGCAGCAGGGCCATGACGAGCCCGACCATCAATGGTGGGATGCCGACGTGGCGGAGAGTGCGCTCGATGCTGTCATGTGATATGGAGTCGAACGCCTTCTGGAAATCAAACAGCGTGACATAGCCAGTGGCCATGTCTTGGGCAGCCGTGTCGATGACTTCCTGCAGGAGGATGGTGTTGTCGTGGATCAGCCTCTCGGGGACGAAGCCATTCTGTAATGGGTTGATCAGACTGTCGAGGAGCTTAGTGAGTCTGGCATTGATGACCTTGCTGAGGAGCTTGTAATCCACGTTGAGTAAGGTGATTGGACGTCTGTTGGCAATGTCCAGTCTGTCTCCTTTCTTGAAGATGGTGTGGATGATTCCACACTTGAAGTCACTGGTGATGGTCTGCGGGTCGAGCAGCATGTTGTTGAACGTGGCGGCGAGGAAGGGGGCAAGGACCTCGGCGTGTGTCATGTAGAACTGACCAGTGAGTCCATCTGGGCTTTTTTTTTTTTTTTTTTTGACTAGAGTGGAAGTTTATTATTATTGCAAATAAATTGGCGTCATTGAAGAGGCGGGATAATACATATAAGTTAGTCGATTTTGAATTTTCTTGATTTTTTTCTTTCTTTTCTTTTCTACTGTGGGCCTCTGAATTCGGCCACCAAGTATTTGTTGATAGTTGGCGGCAGAGGCGGAAGACGGATGTCGCTGTTGCGAGTGCTGAGGTGCCACTTCACCCTAAAGCAAACGTCTTTCTACTTTGCCATACACACTTCACCAGACAGTCGAACACCTCCATACCCCCACCTTCACAGATCGGACTCTAAAATGAATATCTAAAGGCAAGGAAATGCCATTTGATGGCACTTGTTCATCAATAAAGTCACCAAAGATATTCCTGATTATCGAGGAGTGGTGAAAGGTCAATTTTGACAATTTTGCAAACATTTATTGAGGTGGTGAGTGTGGGTTCTGAAGAGGTGTGGGTGAAGATGTGTGTGGGTGGTTCTGAAGAGGGTCAGTATCACATTCTTTACAGATAATCATTCATTCATACAGATAATCACTCGTTCATACAGATAAACACAGACGAATATGTTACAGGTGAAATTTAATGAATATACATTCAACATATCTACTTGGTTGATCGATAACTTCTGGTGTACATTTGAATGATTTGTTCCACATTGTCAAAGTCTTCAGCATCTCTGCACTTCAGCTTTGTCATCGATTGGAGGTATTGGCACAAATGATCCTCACCAATGCTATCTGTTGATGCGATCATGCTGAGGAAGGACCTTACGAACTTGTACACATAGAGTCCACATCGCCAATTACATGTCTGCACCTTATTCTGTAGGGTCTTGATGGGGATGGCTTCATACTTCTTCTTCTTGACAACATTCTTGTAATCATCATAGAAGTTGTTTGCGTAGTCTTTGTGGGACCCAAACAACAGAGAATCCAGATGCAAAAGATAGGCACGATCGTTGGCAGTGATGGTGAACATGACAGAGTGATGGCTTTGGATGGAGACGGTGATGATTCCAAACTTGGATGTGATCAATTTGGAGATTCCCCTAACGCAACTTTTGTAGTGACCTTCTGGTGTAACTTCTAGAGTGCGTACCAACTGTTGCAAACCCATCTCTTTGATTGTCGTCTCGACTAGGTCAGTAAGCAACACAGTGTTGAGGCCTTGAGTGTCTTTGAACCTAGAGAGGAGTTGACCTGAATAGTATGAACGACAAAGTTAGTAAAGTGAGTGGTGGCCACCTGTGTAATCATTCAGAGAGATACATACTCTTGTTAGAGATCATGGGATTGAAGGCATACAGCCGTCCATGCTCCACTGGATGCTTGAGAAAGGCGTGGGCTGGAGGATTGAAGTCCACCAGCTCTAGGTGCAAGCCAAGGTGTTTCTTCACATAGGGAGTGTCCAGTTTGGATGTGTCGAACCGCTTAGCTCTGAACCAAAAGTCTCCATTTGGTGCTCTCTTCTTGGATCCCTTATACACGTCAATGAGACTGGTGGAGAGTCTCACCCAGAGTAGTTGGTCGAGATCGGGCAAGTGATCTTTATCCACTACAAGACCAGAATGTTCCACTTCGTCTAGATCATGACGTTTGTKAAAGATATCTTTCTCTGCGCATTGGATTGTTGCCCTGAACTTGGTACCATCTTCCTTTTCATCTTGGTTGCTACATATATGTATTAATAATAATCATGTCAGTCATTCATACGATAGCACTCAACTATGATCATTGTACTTACTTGAACATGACTTTGTAGAGTGGATTGCCATTGGTATCTTTGATGAGTTCAGTGATGGTGGCAGGCCAAAAGGAATGGATATAACGATGAATATCATAGATATACCTGGCCTCGATAATCTGTCCAACACTATACTTGTGCACCGTGTGTGTATGTGTGTCCACAGTTGGGGCATCCTCCATGTCATTATCGAGATCGATTGGATGGTTGGAAGATGATGTCTGTGATGTTGTCGAGATTGTTGTTGATGTTGTTGATGTTGTTGATGTTGTTGATGTTGTTGATGTTGTTGATGTTGTTGATGTTGTTGATGTTGTTGATGTTGTCTAAATAGATGATGTGAATGAATGCAATGATATTAGATTGGTCCCAAATCTGTCGCGAGAATATATATATATATATATATACCTTTGTAGTAACAGGGAGGTTGCTCTGGGCATCAACACCACTCATTGAGTCAAGCTGATACGAGAGGGGAGTGTTGAGGGGAGGGGCTGCATGTATGAAWGAATGTAGTTCACCATCTGTTGATCATTGTACGCGTTAGTTATGTTCATTCACTATGGCACTCGAGGGTAATGATACATACACCATTGGAGCGATGTTGGCCATTCAAATGGTGGACTGTCTAATGCCATGTGATGATCAATTGATGGTGGCAAGTTATGCGCACCTGTCAATGGTTGCAGCTGTTGTGTGGGCATCATTGATGGTGTTTGAATGGAGTACAGTGCTTGTGGAGATGCCTGGATCAGGTATGAGCTGTTGTCGTGGTGGACCAGCTGATGATACTGTTGCTCATCAGTACAGTATGTTTCATAAGTTATGGCCACCCCCTGTTCAAACAGGTACGAGTTTGATATCTCCTACAAATATGGTTCAAGATTCTTATTCACTTCCAAATATAGTAGTCCACTTTTGCTCAAAAATTTCCATTTATGAATATTTTTCCAAAAATGGAATTAATATATATTTATCATTCAAACGATATTTTTGTTAAAGTAATGAACATGTCCATTATTTATGCAATAGTAAAGAATGAATGAGTTCAAACATCAAACACTTTGTTGGAAGAGATAGAATATTATTTATGTACATTACAATTAATCATGTCATTAACAGAAGAAGAGAGAGCTAAAATCGTGAGAGCCAGAAGGAGAGGATATTCAAAGAAATTAATATCAAAGATGTACAATATTTCCCGATCAACTGTGAGCAGGACTATTCAACGACACAGCGAGCGAGGAGACTTCAAGGACCGTCTCAAATCGGGACGCCCTTCAAAGTTTTCAAGAAGACTTAGAAGGAGGATCATCAAAGCTTTGGTCAGGAAGGAGGTCATCACTTTGGACGAGTTGAAAGCCAAACTTGAACTGAGATACGATACAGAGATATCAACGGCTCAAATATCTCGTATCGCTGCAAAGGAAGGTCTCACCTATCGCAGTTTAAGCAGGAAGCACGATCTAAAGCAAGTAAACGCAGATCAAAGGCTCGAGTTCGCTATGGCTCATCGAGACTGGACAGCGGAACAATGGGAACAGATAGTATTCTGTGATGAGACCACAATTGAGTCCAACTTCAAGAACTACCGTCAACACGAGTGGGCTAGACAAGATAACAACACATTCAGTCGAGTTCATGGCATCAGGAGACTTCCCGGAACCAAGGTCAATTTCTGGGGATGTGTCACGAGTGCTGGTGTCGGATATCTCTCTGAGATTGAAGGCAATTTAGAAAACACTCAATACACGGAGATTCTTGATGATGCATACTCTCGATCCATCCGATATTATCATGGCCAACTCCCAGACTTTACACTGGCGATGGACAACTGTCCAATTCATAGAGCAACAAATGTCACCAGCCACTTGAGAAGGAAGAGGATACCCACCCTATTCATTCCCCCATATTCACCAGACATCAACATTATAGAGAATCTTTGGGCGATCTTGAAGAAGAGAGTCAAGAGAGAGCTGGCAAAGAACCCTGGAGTGGTCCTTTCCGACCTTGCCAATGAACAATGGGAGCTAATGGATGACAGCATTGTTGAGAACCTATACGCCTCCTTGCCACAACGAATGGAGGACATTATAACAGCGAATGGATGGTGGACCAAATATTGACAACCTCCTTTGTCATTATTCTAGTTCATCGTTCCGATACCTTCGATCAATTTTCGTTGCATAAATAATGGCCATGTTCACTACTTATCATTTCAACACTCTCATTCAATTATTTGTAAATAAATATAACTAGCAATAAGTAATTCAATCAAGATTAGTAGATAATTGAGTCTATTATTTAGAGAGATAAGATATCATTTGGTATCTCTTAATATTGAAGAGATATCAATCACCTATCTGTTTGCTCAGGGGGTGGCCATAACTTATGAAACGTACTGTAAGTTGTTCCTGATACTGAGTGTGCTCCTGATACTGCTGCTGCTGCTGTTGTTGCTCGTGAGTGAACTCATCATGATGGTCAGATATCTGACTTGAGGGATCGTCCAGCTGCTGACCCAAACTATCATTCATAATGACATCGATCTGCTGTTGATGTTGTGGCTGTTGTCGTTGTTGATGTTGATCCTTCTGCGCCAGATTCTTGATGTTATCAACCTTGGGCTCGTGAACGTTGGCTGAGATGAACGTATCGGTAGAGTGTGAGGATATTGGGGACGGGAAACCACCTCCAC